TGGAGACGGCTTTTTTCCAGATGCTTTGGTATTCAAGGTATATATATTATTATCATTATTATCATTCTCATCACACGCGAATAGGAGGTTGGGGCAAGGGACAACGCCCCGCTCCTTTGAAAAAATAACACCAACAAAAACAATAATAATAATAATGATGATGACAATAATATTTGTAAGGCGCGAAATCCACTTGAAGGCAAAAATGCTCAAAGCGCACTTGTTTATTAAAATCAAAGATTCGTTTTGCATTGAAAGAGAAAGAATACAAGGAAATGATCAAGGAAAGGACATGTGGACCTCCGTAGAGTCACAAAAAGGCGAAACCCCTGAATGATTAAATGGTAATACGGTGGAATGGTGCTTTCTGTGATACATGTTAATGTAGTATCACACTGTAGTCAAGAAATATTCTCATTCGATACAGACGCCGACCAATTAACAATGCGTTGGAATAGCTGCGAAGTAATATCGGAGGTGAGAAATTAATATGATTTTGTTTTATTAGTTGAATGCGGGGTTGAACAAAAAGTTCATGTACTTAACAAAGGGGGAGTTGGGACTGTTGAGCTTACTTCCATGGTGTCTTCGTTAGGGCACACTTGCTAATTGGAAACGTGTTATTTTTCTAATCCTTTTCACGACTTATCACGTATGTCTTTAGGGGTGAAATGAACATCTGCGCCTCTAAAGATAAACAAGAGGGAATGAGTTTGATTTTACAGCGATTGCAGTGATAGGTCAAGCCACTTTTCTTCCCTGCGATTTAATAAAAACACTGAGCACGTCGTTTGTCCCAAAGGAGGGCCAGGGGGGGGGGCTGTCAACCAATTTTGTTTGCATGGAGGATTTCGGGATGAAATTTCCAATGCCTCTTACTCCATCCATCTCACAATCTAACAAAATACAATTTTGTTTGATATCTATTTCCTCTATGTCGCGGTGAGAAGATTTTTGTCTTTCTTTTAGAGGGCCCTCATAATATATTAATGAAGCTCTGAAGCGAATACATCTTGGTGTCCCTCTATTCAGGCTACCTCACACGAATTGCAGCTTTATACTCGTGCATGTGAAGATCCTTCCTTTAAATAATTGTGAATTATATATATCCATCTTCGATCCACTCATCTAGCCTATTGTGTACTGTATCATTCGACAATTACTTGCGATTTAAACATAGCTATGTATCCATCTTCTTTGTCATATCGTCGGAGCCCTATAATTATTTACCACCATTAGATGCTGACAATCAAAACTCGCAACAACGTCGCTAAAATCGCAATCAAAATTACCTTGAACACCTTTTTGCGAACCCCACCGCCTCGCTCACGGCCACAACACTTTTATGTGCATTATCGACGCGTCAAGGTCCAGCCAATGAGTTTTTGAAATGTCAGCCGATTGGATGTGCACGATAAAAACCTAGTCGTATTATTGCGCCTTTGAAGGTAACATTACTCAAAACAGGGGACCACTAAAGGATACAAAATTTTGTTGGAATTTGTATCTCGTGAATGACAAGAAAAAGGGAATGCTTCCTTCGTAGCTTGCTGTACGCATGAAAAAGTAGCTTATAAGCTTTGTTAATAATAATAATAATAATGATGACGATGCTGATAATCATGATGATAATAATGGCGATAATGATGAATATAATGATGAAGATAATGATGCTGATGATGATAATGATGCTGATAAAAACCTGAATGATGCTGATGATGATAATGATGCTGATAATGATGCTGATAATGATGCTGATAATGATGCTGATAATAAGAATGATAATGATGCTGATGATGATAATGATGCTGATAATGATGCTGATGCTGATAATGATGCTGATAATGATGCTGATAATGATGCTGATAATGATGCTGATAATAAGAATGATAATGATGCTGATGATGATAATGATGCTGATAATGATGCTGATAATGATGTTGATAATAAGAATGATAATGATGCTGATGCTGATAATGATGTTGATAATAAGAATGATAATGATGCTGATGATGATAATGATGCTGATAATGGTGCTGACATTTTAATGTTGTTTTGCGATATAGTTTGTGTTCATACGTTGATATTTTTCTGATGATATTGATAATGATATTGATAATGATAATAATACTGATGATAATGAAGATGCTGATAATGATATTGATAATGATGCTGATAATGATGATGATGATGCTGATAATGTTGCTGACATTTCAATGTTGTTTTTGCGATATATAGTTTGTGTTCATACGTGGATATTTTTCTGTCTCTCTAAACATGCATGCCGGTTTGCTCATGATCAAAATCAAAAGTCTGTCTAGACACTGGACAAAATCCATCTGAATGAAATCATAAAATTTGCATTTTTGAATGGTGCTCTTTACAGTTTGCTTTGTACAGTGAGACAGAGCATCAATGGATAAAAAAAGGTAACTGTGATGGTACTGCATTTATACGGATAACGAACAGCGCATGCACATTAATGTGGTTTTATTCTGAGCATTCATGTTTACTCCCGCTGCTTGCAGTGTACCTCGATCAGCTGAAATTTGATACGAAAGGAAACCAATCTAGTCTACACGCGAGTTACGATGTCTAACATTACAAGTGCATTCAAGGGGGGGGGGGTCCGATGACTTGGGGTTTGGAGACTGGATGAGGCATGTGAGGGGATACAGGCAAACATGTTTGCTAAATGAGAAAAGAGAAATTTGATACATGAAATTTATGAAAGTGTTGTATACATCACGATCATGGGTCTCGGTATTGTTCATTTATGATGAAAATAAAACTGTGTTTGGATGTGTGGCTTTCAATTATTTATTAATTATGAAGATGAGTTAGAAGTGGGGATATCGCATTAATTAATTGACCATTTTTTGTAATGTTTACTTAGAGATGATTTATTACATTCACCTGGATATCCCAATAGCTAGAATGCGCATACATTCGTTGCTGCTTAGTCTGACAAACATGTAGCTTGGCCGACCTAAGTATGCAATTTGCATTCTATTGACACTATTGAAATACAATTAATCAAAACAGGTGAATGAAATGATTAGTAACGAGGCATGCAATTACTGTTGTCTATAGAATACCTAGGGGCAGCCAGAAAACTGAGAGAGATAAAAAGAGAATGAGACAGAGAGAGAGAGAGGGGGAGGGGGTCGAAACTTTCAGCATTTCTTTTCTCGTCTCCACAGCTTTTTATACAAGTTTGGCCATGTATGCAAACTTCATGAAGAAAGGTTTCTATTGACAGACATTGCCAGACATAGCAACAGAGAATGTATGCAAAGTAGATTTCATCTATAGAGATGTATAGCAGGTGAATTGAATAGCTAGATAGAAACCTAAATAGACCATTTTCTTAATGTAATGCCCAATGTTAAGTGCCTATTTATGACTTGCTTCATTCACCTCTTATGAATGATTGTATTTGAATAGTAAGAATGCAAATTGCATTCATTAATTGTTGCTAGGGTAGGACAAACATGATGGCTTGACCGACCTAACGTGGAATGTATGCAATTCGCATACTGACTTCCGAGATATAATTATTCGTAACGGGGAATATGCATTAAATTTTATTACATTACAGAGAGAGAGGGACAGAGAGGGACAGAGAGAGAGGGACAGAGAGAGAGAGGGACAGAGAGAGAGAGGGACAGAGAGAGAGAGGGACAGAGAGAGAGAGGGACAGAGAGAGAGGGACAGAGAGAGAGGGACAGAGAGTGAGGGAGAGAGAGGGACAGAGAGAGAGGGACAGAGAGAGAGGGACAGAGAGAGAGGGACAGAGAGAGAGGGAGAGAGAGAGGGAGAGAGAGAGGGAGAGAGAGGGAGAGAGAGGGAGGGAGAGGGAGGGAGAGGGAGGGAGATGGAGGGAGAGGGAGGGAGAGGGAGGGGGAGGGAGGGAGGGAGGGAGGGAGAGGGAGGGAGGGAGAGGGAGAGGGAGGGAGAGGGAGGGAGGGAGGGAGGGAGAGGGAGGGAGGGAGAGGGAGGGAGGGAGGGAGAGGGAGGGAGGGAGGGAGAGGGAGGGAGAGGGAGGGAGGGAGGGAGGGAGAGGGAGGGAGGGGGGAGGGAGGGAGAGGGAGGGAGGGAGGGAGGGAGAGAGGGAGAGAGGGAGAGAGGGAGAGAGGGAGAGAGGGAGAGAGGGAGAGAGGGAGAGAGGGAGAGAGGGAGAGAGGGAGAGAGGGAGAGAGGGAGAGAGGGAGGGAGGGAGGGAGGGAGGGAGGGAGAGAGGGAGAGAGGGAGAGAGGGAGAGAGGGAGAGAGAGAGAGGGAGAGAGAGAGAGGGGGACAGTGAGAGAGAGGGACAGAGAGAGAGAGAGAGAGAGAGGGGGACAGTGAGAGAGAGGGACAGAGAGAGACAGAAATTGGCTCTGAGGTTAGAATTCAATATATGTCACCTTTATTGCATATCAACACAGTAATAATACACCGTACCCACATATTGAAAGTAATCAGTAACCATAATTTCATCTATAAATAAGAAGATAGGGGCTTAGGCACTATGAACATGACGGACAAAGAAAGCGGACAAAATATACAGTTCCTCAGGTAGACAAAGGAACATCCCTTCACTGCTATTATGTCAAAATGTGTAGAACAGGTGAATATGCATGTGACACCTGTTCTACACATTTTGACATAATAGCAGTGAAGGGATGCTCCTTTGTCTACCTGAGGAACTGTATATTTTGTCCGCTTTCTTTGTCCGTCATGTTCATAGTGAGGACACCTACCCCCTGGACAACCACCCCTGACAACTATCCGGGGGTGGATGTGTCCAGATACGGTACAGCATATCTTAATTGTCCTGTACAATGCTTGAGAAAACAACACAAAATATTGACCTGGATACCACAACAGAGTTTCCTGGCAATGTGCTGCACGAAACTAGAATCTCAATATAGGCCTTTTTTCTATTTTTAGATTGTGAAACGTGTAAAGCCTAGGGGATCTCACATGAGCATTGTTTAACTACAGGGTAACTAGCTGTTTTTTATATATGTATATATTCAAAATAAAGTCCATCTATTACAGATCACAGTGGATAAACAAAAGCTGATAAATATTGAATGAACCAAATTCCTGAATACTTATCCCTGCATCAATCAGTATTTCAAAGTTCTACATCTATTTTAGCACCTAAGTTTTCCACCTTTCGAGAACGTAAAAAATGAGTCATTAACTTTACTACCAATTGACATTAAAAACAGTCATGTACCTAATCCATTAAAATATTGCAATTCTATAGATGAACTTCAAATTAAATGGAAGTGTTGCCCCTAATTCAAACATATAAGAAATAAAAATGTAATATATAAGAGAGCTTATGTCTGCTTAATCTAAACAAAAATATATAACATAATTTACCTTTTCATAATTCTTGGAACTGGATGAGCACAACCCAGGAATCAGATATTGGTTGATTAAAAAAACACAGATTATTGTATGGACAATTCCACTATTAACCATATACTAGATTAAGACCAGGAATTAGTGAGATCTCAAACCAAATAATAACTGTTATTCATAAACATGCATGACTCCAAATTTAGCAAAATCCTAAAAACAACAACTGTACATCATAAACACATACATGAATTTTCAATAATCAATGGACAGAGTTAATACCCAAACACCGGTATAAATTTAGATCATACAGCCCAACACATCTTTTTTTGTCCATAGGTAAAGAGGTATTTCCATCATCATAACAGTTTTAAAATATTGAATACAAAGCCTTAGTGAACATGGGGCTGGTACTCATCTGAAGTGTGAATTAAAAGTCCAAATCCAATATGACAAAGTCAGCAAAACTCATGAAGTTTTCTCATTAAAGGCTCTTTTTGTAATATAATCAAATTAAGTGCTTACGTCTTTAAATGGAAGTTGCATGTTGTTAGGTCTGGCAAATCACAATGTTTGACCTAGCAACAACTAAAATTCAATTGTAACAGGTGAATGAACGAATTATGCAATGTTCCTAACTTCCTATGCAACTTAGCTGCACAGGGCCAGCCAATCATGTAATTAATTTATGCAAAAAGAAAGGAACTCCAGAAAAATTACCCATTGTAAATATATAAACAGAAGGCCCTGCATAAACATCCTAAAAATGTGATTACATGGGTATGGGTACTAGTAGTCACTCTTCTTCACATTGAATTGTAATGAATAAAATGACATATTTGAAAAGATTCAGTATGTCAACTAAAATAACTTCATGCTAGAGAAACCAATTCTTTCACATCAATTTAAAACAATTCAAAAGAAAATGAAATTCTGCAAAGTTCTAACATGAAAATAATAAAAGTAATATACATAGTGACTAACTGTAATAAAAAGAAAATATAAATTAAAACATAGATTGCACTTTCTTTGACAGAAATGTACTATTTTTGTTCATTGGTGCACCCCTGTTTTATGATCATATTTAAAAAACATTGAATACACATTTAGTGAAAGTGTATGATCTTTGCAAATAATGCTTTCAGAATCTAAATCCAAACAAATCCATTCACCCAAAGCAGTTCAGAGATTTCTGAGGTATAAATGAACAACTTTTCTCTTTAAATTGGCAACAGTTTCATATCTTTTAAAATGCCTCATCTGCCATAGTAACAAATTATTGAGATCACTACAATTAATAATTTCACTAAAAATAATGAAATAATTGTATACCTTTCCTTTAACCCTCAAATAAAATAGTATAAAATATTGTGAGTGTATCTATGGTAACTAGATATCTGAAGACACACATACAGTCATAGAGTTCATGTTGTCATGGATAAGGTTGCATTGTCTACAAATTCAGTCTTTTTCTTATTACTGGCCAATAGCTATGTATGACTTTATAATATGTTAATTCTTAAGGAATTCCAGTCTCTGAGTCATACACTATCAGTGTAAGAAGGGGATAGTTACGACTGACAATACATGGCTGTGATGTGAACTGTTCAATATTATAGACCACATCATAATGTAGCATAGATATCCCATAATAGCAAATACTTAAAAACTATCCATACTGGCCTACTGGGCATAACAAATCTTACAGCAGGTTAGCACCGAGAGATGCGCCGACTTCACCAAACTTGTTGCTCTGGTGTTTCACATTCTGAAGAATTTTGACCAGCTGAGAAGACAACTTCAAACGAGACAAAGGCTGCATCATGCGTAGTAGTTGGGCGAGACTAGAAGGTCAGTAAGTACTACAAGCTGGTCGTCTGTGAAGCTCTGCTTGTGCTCGTGCCAGTTGTCGTGATGCGTTCTGCGGAAGTCAGACAGGGTTTTTCGCACTGTTTTCTGCAGATAGTAAATAAAGAAGAGACAAATGAAACGGGATGAAATTTGGTAATGAGAGATAACGAAAAACACATAATAGACAAGTAAAATGGATAATCAACGAGAATAATATACAAATTTAGACTGACAGAATAAAGGACACTCAGCTGAATAACTATGTTATTAACTGTATAAAGCTGTTCATTACTAACGGCTAATGTACAATGAACAAGATTATCAAACCGACAATTAAGAAATGACTACCCTTTCATATTGCTTATAAATATCACATTCTGATTGTGTAATATGCCATTGTGGTATTGATATCTAATGCAGTATGCTCCTGAGATGGTCCTTGGGTTGATTTTTAAAGTCTTTGCAACTGTGTAAACATAAAGGCAAGAAAAATACAATTTTATAATGAGACGTACCTTGATAGGTTTATGATCATGCGAAATGATCTGTCCGTGGGTATCCTTGTTTTCCGTTCAGGGACTTCATACGGGCATGCTTGGATGAAGTTACACTTGGCACTCGTTAATTAACGAACTTACTCAACCAGCTTAATCAGGGTTACACCTGGGGGATGTTTCACAAAGACCAAGATCGACTTAAATTGGAATTTGCTATGGCAGGCTGTTCATGCCACTGATTGCTCCCACCATTATTTCCTTCAATAATGAACTATCAAAAAATGTAAATTCTGTCGTAGGTGACCACGATTTGTACATCCCTTGAGAGTCTAATGCCAGTAAATGGTGAGAGCAGCTAGTGGCATGAGCAGCCTGCCATAGTTAAGTCCAAGTTAAAGTCGATCTTAGTCTTTGTGAAACACTCCCCTGGACTAGGACTAAACCCTATTCTAACTGGGCTTCAGTTTAATATACACTTTTATAATACTCCTGTCAGATTTCAATGTTTTAGGTTGACATACCTCGATAGGTTGAGGATCGTGTAGATGATCTGTGAGGTCCATCAGTATCCTTGGCATCCATTCAGGGACATCATAGGGGTAGGCTTGGACACATGCACTCAGACCCAGGATACCAGCATGCCTCTGGACTATGGCTGGAGAGCAATCGACAAAGGTAAAAGATTTATGGAGGGATACAAGATGAGTGATAAATCACATCTTATGATCTCTCTAATACGAGAATTGAGATTAAACTTTAAAGCCAGGTACACTCAAATCAAAACCTAATGCTAGGATGTACCGATTACCTGGTAAGCTCTATCCTAAGTGGAGCTTAGCAAGATAAGAGTGGTCCTCAAGGGGCTTAAATGTGTTACAGCGACAGGTTTCAATTTTTATTGTGAAGGTTTGAAATTCAGCAATAGGTTCATATTCATTGTCAACCAAAATCAATTATAAAATATTAGTCATACAATGTTCTTAAAATGCTTCAAAGTATGAATCAGATTGCACCAGAGTGCATCTAAGAACTTTAGAGCTCTTAAGCAAGTCATGTAACCTGATAACAAGTGACTTTGTGCTTTACACAGATCAGCTCATAATCCTTCCACATTCCAATTTTACATGTTTGCTCTTATGTCTGTGGACCACCCTGCTGCAGAATGAATTTTTCCTTTGTGATTACAACCCAGCATTGAGTTTAACTTAATACAATACTGACCCAAAGCACTGTGAAAATATATGAATAATACCTGAGCAAACAATTTTATTTTTTACTCATGGTATCAAGTGATAACATAATTTGAAGCAAAATATATAAGATTTCATTACTTGTTATTAGAAGCATTATATTTAAACACTTAATTACTGCCAAAGTATACCTTAACACTTGCCATTTTACATAACTTGAATTCCTTCAAGATATTTTCCTACATTTCTGTAAAACAAGACAGAGCTCGTATTGAGGGATGCTTACCTTCAACGGGTGCAGCCATACTGACTACTTTCTTGGTCGATAGTCTTGTCTTACACAGGTTCTCAAAGTGGCTCTGCATCCCATTCTCCATTGGTAAGAAGCCACAGTGAATCAGACCGCTCAGTGTTGCACCTGCTACCTCTCTCACCTGAATGGATGGAGGATAATTAAGCCATGTTCAGATACGAGTTGGTCAACCGCAGCGATTTTTCGTAAGTAAGTGTCGTACGCTGCACATTTCTGTGTCAGGACACTTTGCATGAGGGAGTTTGCAAACATTCATGTTACGTGTCTCTTGAATAGCCAAATGGAGAAAAAAAGGTGTGTCCTGAATCTTTCAACATTAGCTCCATTTTCAGAGCATTTCAGTCCTCATCGTCATCATCATCATCATTAATATCATTATTATGAATATCATTGTTAGCATCATCATTGTTAGCATCATCATCAATACTGTCATCATCATCATCAAAATCAATATGAATTAATGACTGTACCTCAAGGCGATCGTCCTTGAGCCTGTCCAGTACGAGTTGACCAATGGTTTCTATATGCTTGGGTAGACTGTTGATGGTGAAGAGGTTGTAGAACACCATCACCTGAAGGTACTCTAACATACTACACTTGGCTCTCCAGGATTGGCCCTGACCAATCTAAATAAATGCAAACGAGTAAAAGTGAGTTAATGAATAAAAAGGGTTTTAGTGTGAATGACACAATGTGAATATGTGATCATTTATATCTTTTAAGTTTTTTCTTTTTGAATACATTTTAACTGTTTTCAATTGTTTTGTATATCGAAAATTTACATTATTGATAATAATAATAAACTGAACCTGACATTTCTTCATAATTGTTACCTCCTTTGTCACTATTTCGAGTAAGAGAAAGAGAAGGGAGAAAGGTACGGAATGAGAGACTAGGAGACAAGAGAGTGGGGAAGAAGAAGAAAAGGAAGATGAAACAAAAAGAGGAGGGGAAAAGAAACAGGAGGAGATAGAGAGGGGGGGGGGGGGGGGAAGAGAAAGAGGATGTAGTAAACAGGAGATGTGAGATATAACAGCAAGGCATGATCAAATACAAAAATATGTAGTGAGGGGATAACAAAGGGAGAAAATAGCAAGGGAGAAGAAAGGAAAAGAGAAGGATACATCAAAAGGAAAGTAGTGTAATTTATAAAAGGTAATGTATGATGGAGAGGAGATTGAACTTGATGAGAGAGAGATGAAACTAAGCTGATCTGTATAAGAGAAACAGAACAGAAGAGAAAGGAAAAGAGAGAAGGAAGAAGGGGGAGGGTGAGGGGAGAGAATGAGGGGTAATACAGTGAAGCTCGTTCGTTCGTGTCTCCTTAGATTAAGATAAATGTATCTAGATCTTCGGAGTAAAAGGAAAAGGAAAGAGATGTAATAGAGTAAATGAAAAAGAGTGAAAATCAAGAATGCATGGATGAAATAAATCTTACCTGCTGTAGAGAGGAGAGTACAAGGGGTATCATCCCTGGTTGAAGTAAAGTCTGGGCTAGACAGGCTAGGGTCATCTCTGCTTCATACCGTAGCTCTTCATCAGACTCACAGCTCTCAAGAGGTGCAAACTGAAACATATACCAGTCATTCATAAACATATCATCCTACAGAAGAAATCTATAAACTAATACAAACAATGGCACCTAACCCAATCGGTACAATACAAGTAGGTGAAACATATACCAGTGATTCATGTTTTACAAAATGTTCATAAACATATAATCCTAATGAAGAAATCTATAAACTAATACAAACAATGGCACATAACCAAATCGGTACAATACATGTAGGTGGTTTATCATGAAATATCATCCTCCTGAAGTACTCTAGTACCATATCCAATATTTGACTGAGAAAAACCTTATTTTTCCTTGAAATTAGAAATTGGATAATATTGAAAAAGGAACATAAGTTGAACTGAATCGATGTCTGGCAAAGAATTGACTGAGAAAAACCTTATTTTTCCTTGAAATTAGAAGTTGTATAATATTGAAAAAGGAACATAAATTGAACTGAATCGATGTCTGGTAAGGAACCCTGAGAACACTACAATAAACATCTTAGCTACAACTCCTCAGAAAATATTCCCGAAGATTTGACTTACCAGAGGAAGGTACTGGAAGTATTCTTGAGGTGCAGGAGATACAAGGTTCCCTAGGCTACCTACAATCCACTTCATGACTGGAGAGAGAATTCAAAGTGAAAAATATTGACAAATTTATTCATCTCTCCATAAGTAAAGATATCATGTTGCTAAGTACTTTACTTTCTCTACAAGATGCACTGCACGTTTCTAAATCATCGGCGGAAGAATTCCAAAGGAACAAGTTCTTATCATTTGATGACAAATTTGAAAGCTGTGAAACACTTGTATCCAACAATTGAATGTCTTTGTATACACATACGAATATAACCAGAACAATTAAAGTTAAAAGTTAAAAGGCCCTAATAAATACTAAACAATTATTGAACAAATGTTCCTGCACTAAGACCTTCCACTCGCTAACAATACCTAATGCCATTCTTCTTCTAATCATCCTCTGCCTAGTCTTTGATTAGTCTTTATAAGCCTGGCAAAGACACTAATATTGAACGAGGAGTTCCTTGAATGACACAATGCACCAACACACTTCTGCAAGGCACACAAGGTAGTGTTGACTCATCTGTCTCAAATAAATCTAAGTTATGACCATCTTCCTCTCATCATCTTCTGCCTTGCGTTTAATAAGTCTACATGGGAATGGCAAGAAGTTAGTCACAGAGTCCCAAACATAGAAATTGCTCACTTATGCCCTTCTTCTTGCCACACAGGTTAAGGGGTGGACTCACCTGTTTTACATAACCTAATGACCTTCTTCCTCTCATCATCCTCTGCCTTCTCTTCATCAGAGACCTGGATAGCTCCCCAGACGTCTATGTTAGCCAGGGGGGCCATCTGGGGTAGGATGGATTCTAAGAACTCTTGGCGGTGAGGGGAGGATGTCTGGTTCTCCCGGGACCAGGCATTGTCGTACATGAAGATCATGACCAGGAAGCTGGTGATGAAATGGAGATGTTGATTTTATTGGAAGGCATTAAGTTGGGAGGTTGGAGCTGTGAGTGGTACTCACGGACAAATACGACCTAGGCAATTAATCACTTCAACTACCGCCACCTCAAATAATTAGTTCCTAACAAAATCACCCTCTAGAAAAGCCACCCCTGGCCAACTACATGCATGATATTCATACCTGTGGGTGGGGAGGGATAGCTCTTTCAGTGGTAGTTTGATAATAGTGACCCAAGAGAAGTTAAAGCTATACAAGTTTTTGCAGAAAAATTTCCCAACTTTAAATGTCTTGGTCCTTAGTTTTCATACAAAATACGTGTACATTTAGTAACTTATTTTGTCTAACTTTAATGATACAGGTGTATATAAATAATAGTTATCCCCCCCAAAAATCTTGTTCAGTGCTCAAATCCATCTCGCTCTTCACACTCCAATGTTATTACACAAGCTACAGCCACGCAGTAGCCAAATACAGGTGCAACAACTGTCATTTGCCACTGATGACAAATTTTGTGAAACACCTCCCCCCCCCCCCTGGTACATCATGGGTCTTACCTGCCGATCTTGTCCCTGACATTCTTGTAGCTGTGGGTAAGATGCTGTCGTATGTAGCCTAACAGTCTGTGATGAAGACCTGGTACTCTCCACTCCTGCTGAAACAATCCACCTTGTAGGATGAACAGACGACTGAAGGAGACGAAAAGAGATGAAGAAAGTGATATCTTGGCTTTGTACACTTTTACAGTCTTACTCACATTCCCTTCTTTTTTCTCCATTACACAAATTTTTTGATTAGATAAACAGATAGTTTTGCAAAGGCCGCCATATGTAAGGTAAATATTACTTTTGTCTGACAGAAGTTCATCGATATCAGTGTAGAAAGAGAGGGATGTAAACAGCAAGAAACCCATCACATGAACCCTAACTGTGTGAATTTAATAGCAGAATCTAACAAAATTCAATAACCAAAATGACAAAAAATGTAAAAATTCTGTAAAAACATATGACACCTTGAATTCATTCAACATTCAGGTGAATATCTAGAATTGGGAAAATAGCAATTACTACATGGATATCGATACCCTACAATCAATTTCAAATTTGTCTGAAAAACAACAAACGGTACAATTACACTAAGATATAAATGATTTATTTGATTTAAATCTTGTTATTAGAATCTACAGCAAAATTACACTTTCCTTCTTACTCCCTTTTTTTTTACCTTGAATCCAGGAAAGACCCCCTCTCCTCATCTTCACTGATTGGTTGTTGGGTGAGCCATTCAAACAGCCAATGAAGCTTTCGAGGGTCTCTACTCTCACATGACGTAGCCATGCACATCCCCCAATCTATGATGGTCTCTGCTGTTACCAAGGACAATGATGTCTTCATAGAAGGTAGCAGCACAGTCTCCCACAGATTCTTGGTCTGGAAAATAAAAATGATGGTGGGGAAGGAGAGGGAAAAAAACATTAGATTACTGTCAAAACCTAAATGTTATTTACACACTCCAGTTTGAGTGATCAAGGTTAGTGTGTTTGAGATGATCATTCTTGAGTTATCATAATAACAAATGTTTATTAAAAAAGGGGAAACTATGATTACAACTACAGCACATACTAATCATTCAACCAAATCGAATACTTATCTAATCCACTACTAAAAACATGGATATTTCCCTTTTGAAGCCAGGGCCCCATTGCATAAAACTTACCATTGATGGTAATTTTGCCATCAATATAAACTACTATGGCAACATCACTCAGGTGGTGGTTACTATCAATGGCAAAATGACCATAAATGGTAAGGTGTATGCAACAGGACCCTAGTCTAGCTGGTTTCCTTCCACAGTTGATGATGATGCATTATATTTTAACCCATATCGGGCCATAAGTTTATTAACTTGTTTAACAAATCAAAGTCTATGAGACAAGTTTGCAATCATAGTTTTTTTATTTTTTATTATTCATCACAATGCAACACTGTTCAATGATCTCTTACTTCATTATTCATGACAACCATATGAAATATATATATCATTTAAATAAAGATATGTTGCTGTTTGACCAGTAAAGAATACCTTTTGAAAGCCCCAGTGCTTGCTGCCTCGTATAACACCAGCCATCATCTCCATCATACTCCGCTGGCTACTCTCCAGTGCCTCCTTGGACAACCTCTCTATGTGGGGCTGGAAGACTGGCAGGAAAGTGTCCCCAAAGTTACGGAACAGTCCCTGGGAAATAAAAACAACAGGGTTTTACGGTAAAATTAAATCAGAACAGAAGAATGATACATCTTGGGTCTATGATTTCAATGAATACTCAAATTTAACATACATCATCATTTCAAACAGGTTACAGTTAATACATTTGCATTGGTCAAATCTGCTAGCATTAAAGGTAATACAAAGTTTTGGTATGGGGTCGTGAATTTGGTTCAATTGAACATATTGGAAGCATATGCGATCCTACAATATTCACTGATCGTTGTCGCGGTTGAAATCGACTCTAAACTTACGAAATTGTAAATAATAAACAATTTATGTTGTATAGCTCCCTCTCAAGGTCAAGATATTAATTAAGCTGTAAACTAATGTTTCTTGACTAAGATCGGCCGATTAGCTATTTCTGTTCGGAAATTATATACTACAACTACATATTCTGAGATTTTCATGGTCGCAGCTACCATTGTACGGCCGTAGGAGCTATTTGATTTTTTTTTCAAAATTTACCGGGAGCACCGGTAAATCTTTATATTCAATTTTTCTTGAAAGCAGAAGTGTTTTAGGGGCTAACATTTCTAGTGCTTTTAATACATCCACAGGGGCATCCAAATATATCAAAATTGTAAAGAATCACTATCCGCCCATTTTTCAAAATTTCCCAAAACTTTGTAATACCTTTAAACCTTTATATTTTTACAGTGTGTGCTCTATTTAAATTTTTTCAGCAATTTTGACAAGCCCACATGAGTTTTTTTCATTGCAAAGAGTTTTTTATTAATAAAATTATTTATTATGCAATTTGCTAAGAACATTCATAATTTTTTGAAAAGCCATATTTTGTTTGAACAGCCAATATTAAACATTGTAAACTGAATTCCCAATTTAGCAATTGTGTTCACCAACAGGTCAAATTTCATTTATAATGATCTATGAGCAAAAACAATGCAACCAAGTGAAAAGCAGATTCAGAATTTCTTTTTTTAGTCCTGTACAATAGGGAAAATATGTACCAAGCAATAGTTTTTGTCAAATAAGATGACATTGGTCCAAGTACGATTCGCAGCCTACTGGGACTTTTCTCTCATTGGGATTTTTAGTAATCTACACAATTATAATTTTACAACCATTACAGCTATTAGGGATCCTAGTCAGGAGGATTTTACATTTCTTTATCTGATTACATTGCAATGTCTTACAAAATTGAATCACTAAAGGATCCTGCAATGTCCCATACTCTACTCACCTTGAAGACTGTGTATTTCTTGTTGTCAAACTTGTCTCTTCCTTTCTTATCTTCTAAGGACAGGTAGCCTACTAGTTTCTCTACAAACTCTGCATTGCTGAAGTGATCATAGATGATCTGTTCCGTCTCTGACAGCTCCTCTCTGCTACGGTCTAGCTTGGGCTGTTCATCGAATGGGGCGTAGATCTGCATGTTCCTGAGGCAAAGGGAGAGTTGGTTTCAAGGGTGTTAAGATGACAGTCAGAATGTCAGACATTGGTTTTATATCACAACTGCTCTGTGATCAATATGTAACATACTGACTCCATTCCCACCTTCAACCCAGGATCCAACATTAAACTCAATGGGAATCCTAAACCTACCCCAATACCAAATCGGAACCAAAGATCAAGGGTGGGAGGGAGGGACACTGCCCCCCTGTGCCCCTCCCCTTTTTGGATCTGCCACTCAATCAATCAATGTTTATGCCTTCATGTCATTTTCTCCTTGCATACTTTTATAAACAAAACATTTGATGCCAGTCATTCAGACATCCAAGGTGATGTCATTAACTGGCTTTTCAAGCAACAACTTACTTGGGCCATTTATAGTAGCCCCAGTGGGTCTTATCCACAAACACACACTGGTCCCATTTCTCCTGGGTGGTGGGCAACCTGTCACACTGGTACTGAGTCCACTTGTTGTCCGGCCGCTCCCCGGGGTTGGGTAGGGCGTCGTCAGGAGGGGCGGGGCACCCAGCTGTTGCGTAGGGGTCAAGGGGCACCTTCTTGTGCGGACGCTTCAGTTGCTTCATTATTGCACCCATGGCTGAAATGGCAAGCTGAGGAATAGAAGAATCGATAAAATGTTTGTGTGATGAATGGTTATAAGGAACAACATATGTAGACATTTAATTTATAATGCAATTATTTTTAATTTCTTTTTTTTCAGGGGAGGGGGGTCTTGTTTAATAGAACTAAAATTACCTATCCTTTGGTTCATAAAGCACTCCAAGATCGATCAGTGAAATAATTTGTTCATAGCGAGTTGCCAACTCGCGCATGCCATTTCTTTGAATACATAAGCTACTGAAAGACAGGAGGAGCATGAATCAATACTGGTGGAAGAAAGAAGCTCTCATAATATGTTTGATAATATCTCCGGAACGGGTAAGTCTGGAATATAGATAACATCTGAACTTGCTCCATCAGGAAAGAAAAAAAAACCAAACTAAATAATTTTCCCTCTATCAATGAGAAAATTCTATAACAAAGAGAACATTTCCTAATGAAATGGTCCCTTTTCTACCATCTACATCTTACTCTCACTCTTTCTCTTTTCTCTCTTTCCACTAGTCCTCTCTTCTATTTCAAGCATAACTATTCCCTAATGATCATATTCACAGGAACAGAGTGGCCCTAAATCTAAGCACCGCTTACCTTTCTTAAGTTAAGTGTGTCATGTACGAGGAGGGATGTGAAGAGCCGTACGACAGGGATTGGTGGAGGGGTATCTACCCTCAGCTGAAGACGGAGGAGGCTTGCCGCCATTTGAGAAAACTTCCATCGCCTAGAAGACACACAGAATGAAAAAAGTGACACATAATTAACCTCATCATGTATAATCAAATCAAATGTATTGGTATTAAATCCAAAACTAAAACATAAATTCTGATCAAATACATGGACGTCAAATCACACAATAATATCACTACCAACCATGTATAAATAGCATCAAACGCAGAATGAACATAGAAATAATCACTGTAACAGATAAACAACATGACAATTATGTAATTTACTAAAAAAAGTGTTATGATTATGAATATACACCTGATAATAGCAAAAATAAAACAAACCCCCCAAAACAAACAAAATACCATAAACATCAAATTATCTTGATCAACTAATCAACTGTGGTTGATCTAGGCATACTACTCAAGTTTTTGATCAATGTGTTATCATTCACTGGCAAATTTCTTTTTTTCAATTAGTATACTTACAGTTTGCCTTGCTCTATTACATCCACCAGCTCGGATACCAGCTCATTATACACTCTGTAATAAAAGTATAAAGGATTAAACCTTGATTTAATCAAAATTCAAAGAAAAACACAACATTCTTCAAGATCATTTATATGGTGGAACAGCTAGCACATCACCTACTGCATAATCCATCTCACTTTTTGTACAATGTGTTCTTGTCATTATTGTCTTTACAGGTGCCGAGAGCACACAAACCTCATTAAATTTCAAAAATTAAACTTTGTCTCACTCCCTCCAATTCCATTCTGGGCAACTCCATTCCATATAAAATAAGAGAGAGTTTATGTGTGGACTACACACATAATATGAAATGTTAAAATTGCAAATACCTAATTAAAACTTTGATGGTAGAAACTGTGACGATGGGCAGATAAATTGTACTTATGTTTATCGGCAGATAATTTGCTCTTTCTTGTTAGAAGACCAACAAAACACATTTGTGGGTAGTTCACTCTTTATTTGTTTACTGCTATCCTGATCATGTAAAATTCAGTGATTTCTTCTTAAAATATTCTCCTCACCTCATGTTGCTTTGATTGTGTTCCTGTAACCTCTGTACTGATGCTGATTCTTGCTCAGGCGTTATGCTGACGTTCAAACCCTGTACCAAATCATTGGCCTTGCTCCTGGCGCCATCTGAAACCTAGTAAGGAAAAGAAAGAGTGCTTAAATTGATTTTCTTATATAGTGCATATATTGTCCATTTCATTGTGTGCCTGGCAGAAGGGCACAGACTAAAAGTTCTGTCATATTTTTTTGTTCAGTTTTATACAGACAGGAAACAGAAATAATATAGAGAAGGTGTAATGTGTTACAAACTGCTTACAACTTATATTTGAACTGGATTATTTTGTGAAGATCCACTCCTTTTATGTGTCCCTAAGGCACTCTATCCATACAGGTCTCAATGTATAATAACTCATATAAATTTAATAAAATAGTTTTTCAACAGGTACTTGACAAAGACTCTCACCAGAGCTGTCAACCCTGTAAAACCAAAAAAAAGGAACCATGATGGCAAAAAAAAGGAATTCATTAAAACAAAACTTATAACCACGCGCGACAAACTTCCAATGCAGAAATGTCCATTCCTCATGCTATTTTTTTTCCATATAAGGACCCATAGTTTATTTACAAGTAGGTATTTTGTTCTTGTTATTTTTGTATTATCAGCGTTTCATTCTTTTTGAGAATTTTTTGTAATGATAGTTTTCTATTGAATTTGTGATTTGTTTTTTAAACGTACTACCATAATTTGGAGGAAAAAAACAGTAATTCCGGGAAAACCGGAAAGATTGGGAGCTCTGTATCACTGCATAACAAAAATGACCTGTTGAAAAATTGCATATTATATTCAGCAAACTGAGATACATCATTGGGTACTAACCTTGACCGTGATGGCCGACGTGTCAAAGACCTTGTTGACCTTCATCATGACCTGAGCTAAGACCTTCATGATGGACAGCTTCTCAGAGTGGCCGGCATTGACCAGTCCTAACCATACGTCTTTCAGGATTGACCAGTAAGGCAGGCATGCCCATGTGCTGTTCATGCTGTACCCACTTAGTACATAGAGGGCTCCCTGTAGCAGAACACAAATTGTGATATCATAAATACAAGTCCACCTGTTGCACTTTGTTAAAGAACAGTTACCATGAACAAACTTCTAAGACTTACACTTTTAGTTTAAGTTCTTTATCATTGTTAGAATAAATTAACATTTTTTTAAATATACTTCTTAATGCATCTGCCCGTTTCTATTTCAGGAAAAGATTTAGAATTTTTGTCTCCAAAATTGAGTACACTGTTAGAATTCTTGAGTGGAAGATAGTGTCACTTGCTAATTGCTAAACACAAGACAGTTGGATAAAGTATCCTTTAGAATAGATGTATGTATCATAAATGTAGTTATAATCATCGTGATTTGCTAATCACTCTGCTCGAGGAGAAAAGAAATTGGCAGCAGCTTAAACGTTGAATGTATATCCTGCTACTTATCAACTATTGAAAATCAAAAGGTATTTGCCAACTGATTCATGGGCATAGAATGGGGGCAAACAAAAGTTGAACATAAATTAAATATTTTACCTTGAACTGGTGATGTGGGATGTCTGTATCTGGCTTGAGGTTGACCAAGACCTTAGGAATGATTAGCCTCACTGATGATACAAAGTGATCCATCATCTTGAACAGCATGATCTGGGCCTTCTTACGCACCTGCATTCATTCACAAGGAGGACAATTAGACAAAGGTGAATGCATTGCAGCTAAGAGGAGAAGCAGTGGCTGAGTGGTAGTGCAATGGTCTTGTAACCGGGAGGTATTGGGCTCGAAACCATGTTGATGCACTAGTGCCCTTTGGTAAAGCATTAATCCTCATTACCAAGTATCTCGGAGAGGACTTAAAGATATCGGTCCCTGGTTGCTTACTTACAAGCATACACATGCTTTCTTAGCAGTCAGGTAAAACAAACCAAACCATCAAATCAATGCTGGTTAAGCTTCATGACACGATTACATCCAAGTTCATTTCTACGACACAAATTCTAGTTACAGTCAGTGTCCTACACTAGTATCCTACACTGAACTTCAACCCTTGACCAAACTCAATACCTAACCCTAATCTCAACATCATAAAAAATTTACATTTAACCCAAATAAAAACCTAACCACATATCTTTGATGCAGTAAAGCTTGAAGCAATTGGCACAATGATTTTAGCCCCTCTCCTATCCAGTTCACTTACGTCTACTAATGTCTAATCAAACATGTACATCACCGTACATGTATGCAACTAGAGAAACAGGTTAGCTTGTATTTGTCCTTACATTAAGGTTAAGACTAAATAACACCCATGCATTCTCTTCTCTAAAAAATCTTTTCTCACTGTACCAGCTGATAACCAGGGTGAACACCCCTCAGTCTGTGTTCCTATCTACATCTAGATACACATCATATTCGACCTCTCAATCTTACCTCATTCCTGATGCCACAGGCTTTTTCCACACGAAATGGTTTGACACATACAATGCCCCGGTTAATGTACAATTCATCTTACTGATATTTACCACACTGTACCCCATAGTGGCTAATGTGCATCCTGTATCAAAACTTCAAGGGTTGAACACCATCACATTCAATACATTTAAAGACATGTCTCTTACCTCGCTGTACCTGCTTGTTGACAGTGTGAACAGATCACTATGAATCTGTTTATCAAGATCAGTGTAAACATGCTTGGCCTGGACCAGCATCCTCATCTCATGCTGGAGGTATACCCGATCTATCAACAGGGCTCGCAGGTGCCTCTTCTTCCCATGTAACTGAGGATGAGAAAGGATAATACAGATGATTTAAATCACAGGAATATTATATTAAATTAAGATTACATATCATTAAAAAAAGACACACACACATTCAGGATTACATGTTGACACCATACTAGTATGACTCTGATAAATCTTATTAACAAAGACAAAGATAGAGAAGATGCTGATGGAATTTCAACAACAAAATCTTTCCTTTGTACAAATGAAATTACAATAAATATGCTTTGGAAACTATTACATAAGCTTTGAGGCGGGCAGTTAGTAAATAGCACTCAATGACTTACTTTCAGGAAATTTCCATCAACTTTCCTAGGTTGATATAAAACCTTTTATCTATCATTATTATCTGGCAATATTACAAATATTTCATATCCCAGCTTGTCGTTTATGAAAGTACCCTGACTTGCTTACTCACTCAACTTTCCAATGAGACGTCAGGAGTTTGAATCTTTGCTTGGTTAGTGAGTTGAACTACTATTGCATTTCTCTAAAGGGATGTTGTCGACGGGTAACTAGACTAGTATCAACAGGGACCAACGCCAGGGTAAAGATTTCAATTAGTATTTTGATTAGTAAATACAGGTAATATTTCCACTAAGCTTACCCTGTCTTCCATGGCTTTCTTGATGATGAGGAATCCCTTCCATCGGCTGTCAAAGTCCTTCTTCTCTGCTCCCATGTACCACATCAGCGCATTGTTGATCTGCATATAAAACAAACACATTGGATGAATGCACGAGTCCTCACTAGCTGGTTGACTAATGTAGGAAATTGGATTTATACGTGTTTTTCTTATGCAAATGACTTTGTATAATTTGCATAAAACTGCCGTTAAAAATAGGGTGAATGAAATGTAGTTCCTCGATTTATAAGTTTGTTTTGTTATCTTGAGGAAGAATTGATATATTGTGAGTTTATGTAAAAAAGGAATAAGATTGCATATAATGTGTAATAACTTAATTTTACTTCATTCAAAAGGTGTTTGTACAAGAATAGCAAAAAGAGGAAGGATATTTTGTTTATAGAATTGTGATAGGTCTTTATATGTGGGCACGGGAATCTGCCTGACATAGCAGATACGTAGGCACACATTGCATCTTGTCATGGGCGAAGGAGGTTGTGCGTGTGTCGGGCCGTATATTAGTGTGCAACGCCCTTGTTACGTTTTTACACCTTTGAAAGAAGTAAGTTGTTTTCTTTAAATGTCACTTTGATAGTAAAGATTGTAAGCTTTGATACGTGTCTATGAAATGTTTTTATGTCCTTCAGGAGAGGAAAATAAGGATTATTTTGGAAGGAGAATGTATTTGATTCTGTACTTGACAACTTCCGTTAGTCAGAATAGTATGTCTTCATAGGGATATGGTATCCAGTTAATCAAATTACATTGATCGTTTAAATAAATGTTATTACATTTATTCTATATGATGTTTAGATAAATTGTCTTTTAAATGGTTAGTGGTTAACGCCTACCTGTATTTAGTGCGTGAATTATTGATTGTAATGATTTCGCCGTTGAGGGCGTATGATGTTAATATTGTGATAAAGATGGCGGCGCTCATGGAATCTTTGTATGATAATTTAATTGATGAGTTACTTTATGTAATGTGTTATTAGTATACTATAAGGATGTTTTAACGATTTGTTATAGATGACATGCTAGCGAGGTTTGCTGGGAGCTGTATTAGTGTGGTCTAGCTGGGACTGTGTTGTCTTTTGGGAGCCGGGAGCTGCTCCGGCTTGTATCTCAGAGACCTTGGGTAGGATATGATTTAATATATATACATTGTTTAATTGGTGTAATGTTGTTTATTGATGCATTTTGAATATGTACTTTCATATAATATGTGCTAATTAAAGACAATGATATTGTCTTTATTATTATATTATCATTGATGCATGATGTCACAGTTTATGTAATACAGTGTAAACCAACAGTGTGATAATTTACTGTCTGTTTACCTCGCCCACATTGTTGTATACTATGTATCAGATATATGTTGATAAGAATCTATACTTGTCTTGTATTTATGTTTGGCACATCTGATTGATTTGCAGGGTTTTCTTCATGCTGATGTATATTGCTGTTCACAAATAAATGGGCTCATCGCCCACCCTTCACATTCAAGCTGCATGCATGGTGCCTTACTTACTCCGTATTACGACAAATTACTCCGTATTACGACACTAAGAAAACACCAAAGGCCCATTGACAATAAAGCATCCACTACTTTGGCACAATAACAGTTATACAATGAGAGATAGATCTTGCGAGTGAGAATAAATGCTACATTGTTTAAATGTGGTCAAGTAGTTTCAAGCCTGGACAGCAACTTGCACCACAGAAAACATGGGATGTTTGTAAAGGGCTTTTTAAATGATAAGTCCATTTTGGACATAAAACCTCAGTTTCAAAATATTTCTAAGTCAAAGTCAGACTAATATCAATTTCGGTAGTCTAACCCTCCTTTTAGTACAGACCAATGTGTTTCCATAACTGAACCTTCTACACTATTAGAATAACTTTATAATGGGAAAAGAGATAATGTTACTGAACTTACATTGATGATGAGTATGATGGACTTGGTGTCATCCTCCCCTGTTGCTAGGAGATGATTAAGAAGATCATGCATCACCTGAGCTAGTTCTTCTCTGATGCCTTCAAACCTCTTCTGTTTGTCCGTTGATCCTAGTGTCCTATCTAGAGTGTGCATGTGAACTTGACTCTCACTCCTAAAAAAAAAACACATGTCAACAGGTGTTTACAGAGGTATCAGAGGGTAAGGTGGAGATTGTATGACATACAGGTGTATGCTCTAATTGTAGCTCTAACACTATTCGCAAATTCGCAACTTTAGCTCAAGCCAAAACACTTAAAACGTACATGTAACTGTAAACCTAACTGAAAACATAACCAAAGTCCTCATGCCTCGTATTTGAATAACTAAAGCTCAGACGAAGTTTGCTATAAATCAGGTGAAAAAGACAACAAAGTAGAAGGTATAATCTGAAATTCAATATCAATACTAAAAACTAAAATTGATAGAGATTGAAAGACATAGTAGAAACTTCCGGGCCAATGTTTTTATAGCAATTCGTTTTTTACCGTCCTTTTCACTCATAACTTTAACAAAATATCACATTCTGAAACCCCAATTAGGAACATAAAAGTGTGCTGGTATTTTCTCCTGCATTCATTGCTCGTGTAAGGTTTTAAAATCAAAAGCAAACTGCACCATGCCACAACTACGTCTATGTCACATCTTGTGTGCCATGTATTATTAAATGAGGTGCTCTACCAACTGAATATTAAAGCCCCACCGCACTAGTTTTGCCAGGAGGGATTAGACCTCCCAGCATGGTCACTGACAGGTGGTTATCTCATCAAATAACCTCTCAATTAACATAAGAAAAATAGGATCATTGGGGACCAACAGTCACCGATTAGGCATTGTTTGCTATACAGAGGGCGCAAGTAGCTATAAGTAGTGCGGTGGGGCTTTAAATTAGAAAGTATGTATTGCAGGGATGTACACTCACAGCTCTGGTATCGAGGGCCTCTTCCATTTAGGCATAAGAACCCCTGCCCCTGTCAGTACATTGAACAAGATGGTCAGGCTCTGTAGTAGCTTCTCTCTGAGAAAATAAAGAGATTTGAAACGTAAATTATGTATAAAGAAATCAATAAATCAAATCAAATCAAATCAAATGGTGGACCTTGGTGGAGTAGTTAACAGATATCTATCAGAACATTCATGTAATCTGCCATTTTTGTTGAGTATGCTTCAACGTGGCTACATATTTTTCTTATATTCTCATATTGTCTTTTCCGGATTTAAGGGGGGGGGGGTTCCAAGTCATGATGTTCAATGGTAATGATCATTTTCCTGGCTCAAGAATTAGAATGTGGAAATACATACATTTACTTTTGGAGAGGTTCTCAGACCACACTCCATCTCTCACTCATAATCATTTATGATTGTGTTTTGAAATAAATTCATTGCATCAGAACTGCTTGGTCTTGTATCATATCTTTATTCTTGATTGTAAATCATCATGAACATCTGTCCTATTTCGACAGCTAATGGAGTTGAATCACAAAATAAGTAAATTTGTATTCAATTCAACGAACACCCCACGACTGTATTTCAGTGAGAACTGGCATGAAAAACATAATCTATGACAAGCACCAGGATTCATACCTGCTTATAGACTCCCCCTTGATGTAGTTCTGTAGTTTCTCTATCTCTGGCTTGTAATAGATATCTAAGAGCTCCTTCACACATGCTACTCCGTCATCAGAGGGTATATGCCACTTCACACCCAGGTTGTGAATGTCACCGCACGTTGCCCAGTCCTAAGAAAGGGTCATCATAAAACCATCATCACTTTCTTTCATCAGCAGCAGAAGCAGCAACAGAAGGATAATCATCATCAATATCATAATCAATGATCATTACCATCATCACACTTGATATTGTCAATCATTGTCATTACCATTGTCCTCCTTAGACATCATTATCATCCTCATCAAAATCCTAGTTGACATCATTATGACTCTTGTTAGTGTGAGCATCATCTTCATTTAATACCATCACCCTCTTTACCATCTTGGTTGTCACCATTGAAACCATTATTAGGTGCATTTGCTTGAACAATCCGAAAAGGTATTTGATACTAAAGGTGCCATTTCAAATACTCAAAAAACATTACAAGGTATATCAGGCATGTCACAGCATTGCATAAAATGGAGGTCATTTTTCAAAACTTGTTATTATATATATATATTTTTTAAACTCCTTGTTCAATTATTCATAAATACATGTGAAGCATCTTTACTATAAATATCAAGAAGTGATTCCATTTACATGAGAGGGATTAAACCTACTACCATGGACCACACGTACATCAAGCTGCCAAAAACATGTCGATTTTTGTTACATCAATGACAAAGAAATAATTTGATGGTTCATTACCATTATAGCTCACTGAATAAGATGTTATATAAATAAGCAACCTCTGCATCATTCTGTAAATATAACATTCAGATCAATTACTACAACATGAATGACTCAATCGATAGCAAGGGAAGTCTTACCCTGATAGGCAAGTACTCTGTGAGTGGCCTGTCAAAGCCCTCTGCTATACTGCAGTACTCCCTAGGATACATGAGGCACATAGCTCGTAGCCAGTGCTTGAGTAGCTGGCAGGACAGCTCGTAACCTTTCTTAGAGGTCAGATGAAGGGTAGCCTTCAGGACCTTTTTCAGGGTGTCCTTATAGGTGAGGACAACCTCGCTAGGAACTCGTATAACCTGCAAAATATCAAGCACATGATTATTTAACTTGCAAAGACAACAAATACACGTATGGCAGGGCTCAAGTTCTGCCTTCATTTATAACCTATCATCATCATCATCTTCATCAAATATTGAATGAGAATGTAAGCAAGGAACATTTTGTCAGAGCTACCACTCATTACAAATGTCAGGAGTCTCTGTCGAAAACTAAATAACATATGACCTCCTCTTAACCCTTACTGTACTGGGCTATTTCGAGCACTCTCTGACTGGGGGGGGGGGGCCTGGGAGGCCCCCCCCCCCCCTATGATCTCGGCCGTCGAATGTCCGATGAACGCGAAAATTTGCATGTTTGTAGATATTTACGTAAGGAACAAGATGGTATAATTAGTTTTTTCCTAATATGCAAATTTTTGTCGTTATAGCCTAATTAATTATGCAAAATGCTAATTTTATGCATTTTACAGAAAACTCTACATATTTGTCCGTAGACTTGTGAAGAATCGTGAAAATGTATTGAATAAATGTTTCCTTCATCTCAAATTCACTAGGTTTCATTATTTTTATGATATTTGAAAATGCATAGGTTAATTTGCATAAATTATGAATACGCAAATTACGCATTCATGAATATCTAATCTGGAAATATACAGGGAACTAGAATCATTACAAAAATTGTCAGACTCCACTTTTGTTATGTTGAAACTCATTATTCATATGAAACTTCTTTTCTAACACAAAATAGTTATTTGATGTAATTAATAATGATAATTTATGCAAATTTGATGCGATTTTCAACTTTTTATTTTCTTACGTATTTCATTGTTTTTTATTTGTTATTATATCTATTGTTTTATTTCTAATGTATCTTTTTGTTCTGAAATACATCAAGTTACTTTGAGAAACATATAAAAGCAATTTGATATCAATTCATATCTTCACATTTCTGCTTGTACATGAATATATGCAATTATAGCACTTTTTTGATGACATGCGCACACTAATTGTTATGTAACACCTTACAGGTATATCCGATTTCGACGAAAATGGTATCAAAATGTGCGTAAGACTTGAAGGAAAAAAGTCATGAAACGACAATTCGAAATTCCGAGCGGTTGCGGCGCGATCTCCGAAAATGTCGAGGGGGGGGCCTGGGAGGCCCCCCCCTCCCCCCCCCAGTACAGTAAGGGTTAAACTGCAATTGTATTCAGGGATACCAGTTGGTTTCTCCAGATGAGCCTGAAAAGAGGCCCAGACATGTTTGAGCCTCATATAATATGTACAATATGAAGCCTGATGAAGCCTGATATGGAAAGGTGTCAGGGCCTGGCATCCCTGTGTATTCTTATAACATGAATAAAAGATGTAAAAACAATAACATAAAACAAACTAAAGACCAGAATGTTGGAACTTACCTCTGAGAGAACTTGGAGGTTGAAGAGAATCTCCTTGTCCAACTCTTCTTCCAACTGGACCTCTTCTGATGTGAAGGCATCAAGGATCTTCTTGCTACAGTGAGGCACAAACTTGGACAGAGTGTACTTGGGATCCACCTACAATATGAACAAATAATATCCATGCATTATTAAAAGGTAAACCTTATTTGAACGATCAAGAAGTGAATTACCGAAGTTTTGATGACATAATTTTCTTTTTTTTTAATTTTTATCTAGGAACTTCTGGCTACAGTGAAGCATTGTAAGGGAAACCTTATTTGCACTATCACAAAGTGAATTACCGGTAGCTATTGTTTTGATGACATAATTTTCTTTTCATTTATCTTTATCTAGGAACTTCTGACTACTGTCAAGCATAAGCTTGGATAGAGTATACTCAGATTCTACCTAGAATATGAGAAGTATGATATTCACTTCTAGAGTCTATGATCATATAGATTGTTTACTTGTGTTGCAATTTTCTATCCTGATCTCTTTTAACAGACTTTATTTGAATTAACACAAAAATAACAATAATTTAATGTTTCTATCATAGTGTTGCATATTTCTTACCATGTTATTACTGAATTCAAATCCTGTTACCATGGTACAGAAAGTATTTTAAAAGCAGTAACTGAATAAATGTCAACTGACATTCTCGTAACAGCAAAAGTTAACAACATTACACTTCTTAAAAACCTTTGCCTATTCCCAAAGCCTGGAGAAAATCATTGAAATCGATGGATAGCGCCAACAAACCCAACAACAACAACAACTTTAACATACCTTAGCGGCTGCCCTGCACATGTTGGCAATGGTTTTACCAGACACCTTAGTCTCAAGGATAGACGACGAAACATAGCGGAACAAACGATTGACTGCTGCCTGTAAGAGCAAAGAAAGAAAATGGTGGAGGTCAACATACTGTTTATGTGATCAATAAAAAGCCAATGTTATGATATTTCCTGATTGTAGATTAGACAACTACTTGCACCCTCTATATAACAAACAATGCCTAAGCAGTACCTGTTGGCCCCTGATAGGCTTTAAATCACTTTGCATTTGTTACAACTAGATAATTTTGATATTTTAACAACAAATATAAAGTGTGCCTCATAAAGTGCTATAAAATTGTTCTAAATTTATATGAGTAAAGTATGTCAGAGTAAGATATCAAAGGGTTGCCGATGTCTGGAGTGTAAACAAAACAAAGAAATTTGATGTGGTTTCTTAATCAATGTCATACCTCAAGGATAGACTGTTCACACTTCAAGAAATGTGTTATAACAAATTTAAATACATGGACTAAAGTCATGATATTTTTCTTTCTGGTCTATCTTTCTGAATTTCAAATTTGACATCATAGCATAGTTTCTGACCCTCCAACCATACACCATACAATATTCCTTATCTCTACACCACACATCATGACATAGCTTCTGACCTTGTACCATAAACCATGACATTCTTCTGACCTTGTAACATAAACCATGACATTGTTTCTGACCTTGTATATCTGAGGTGAGCTCTGGGAGCAGATGGTACTGAATGTTGAAGACAATCCTACGTCCACCATGGCTTCTTGGTGGTTCACCTTTTCTTGATCGTTGTCCTGGCTTCGTATATGCTCGATGGAACATGCCTCAATCAGATTGAAACATCTAACAGCAAATGGAAAATGCAGGAGTAAAGATATAATAATATAATAACAATAAATATGATGGTGAAAAAAATCATATGCAGGAAAGGCAATTTTTTTACATTTCTGCTATGAGAGACAGTATTCTGCAAAAACCGAAGAACATCAAAGATCTCTCTCTCTCTCTCTCTCTCTCTCTCTCAAGCCCATTCATATCTGTCTGTCTTATTCCTATATTCTTTTATCTCCATCTCAACCTCTCTCTGGATCTTCCACTCTGGCATTCTCCTACTCTCTGTCTTTGCTATTCCATTTATTTTATTCCATTCTCTCTCCATTTATCAAAAATGAGTTAAGATGATAACAAATCTTTGAAAACAATTGACTCATGAATATCTTGACTTAAGGATTATCAAATTTTCCTTTCATGCTACACCATCTAAAGGAAAACAATTTTCTGAAGAGATGCAATACCTGTCCATGAAGAGAAGCACAAAATCTTCAAAGGTGGCTGTTGCTGAACAGAGCTCCCTCTCCTGTTCCGTGATGTCGTCTCTAACCAGGGAAGCTTCAGAGCAGTCTACTATGGGTACCATGACGGTGAAGGTAGAGATGGCTTGCAGTGTGACCTAAGGTTCAAGCAAAGGCAAGATTTTTGTAAGAAACTTCATTAAAATTATACTCATTCATTGATAGAAAGCACACTCCCATATGATTTCTGAATAATCAATTATTTTAGATAAAGGTCTGACTATATGGAGTTTGAAGTAAAGTCAATCACTCTCAAAGTGGTTGAGAAACTCTAAATTAAACATTAAAAAAAATTATCATTGACACTTAACAGAGGGCTAATAATATTTCAATACTTTAAATAAAGCCAAATATAAACTAAGTGGATTTTTACAATTTACTCCAAGGGGTGTATCCAGCAGAGGGGAGGCGGTTTACCCCCCCCCCCCCTTCTGAGGGCATGGTAGATTTGAACAACTTGCAGTCGACCTATAACACACTAGTATAAACGGCTGCCCAAGTATTCTCAATCTCCAGATTAGCAATTTGGGATACTACAATTGCCAAAATGACCCTCACCTACAAAGGATCAAATTGGACCTATGAACTGGTTTATTTTTGCAAATAATCTAGATATTCCCAAAATCCAGATCAACACAAAATACCATGCTATAGATATAATGGGATATTACAAGTTTTCACAAACATGTGTGACTTCACTATGCTTGAAGGATTAGCATTTGAAAATGACCCAAGATAAAGCAGCACTACCTACCATGCATTTGGCAAAGTCGTTGGGATCGATACCAGGTAGCATCGCATGGAGGAGAGGTAGTAGGTGAGTGGGGCCATCGGGGAGCCACTTGCCCCCCTTGAGCATGGTGCAGGAGACCGACACCACGCAGCTCACTGTGGCTATCAGCTGGTGGGGCTCTGTCAGGGTATCTAAAGCCTTGTAGGTCCTGTAAATACATATGAAAGGAGATATGAAAATAAATATATAGTACTAAATGATGATTGCTATTGTTGCAGAGTACAGTATGACATATAAGACTTGGACAAAACAATGGTATTACTTTTTAAATGTACATAATGGACTTTGCTTCGCCATCTTGTGTTGTACAAAATGGAAATGAACTTACAAAACTCATGTGGGCCTCTAGTGACTGCATCTTCCACATTTACAGAGTATTGTCAGAAATAATTCCTTACAGATGAAGGGTGATGGAATATAGAAACAGTTCGTAAGTGTGACAGGGAGGATATAGAGAGCTGTGGTTGAAAAAGAAATTACAAAATAATACAAAGGGAGGGAAAAGGGAAAGAGTGAGAGAAAGAGATAGAGATAGAGAAAGAGATAGAGATAGAGAAAGAGAGAGAGAGAGAGAGAGAGAGAGAGAGAAAGAGAGAGAGAGAAAAAAGAGAGAGAGAGAGAGAGAGAGAGAGAGGGAGAGACTACAGGGGTGTGGGGGGATTAGAGGACAGAATGGACAGGCATGATAAGACAAGGTGAACATAATGGCATCTCCATAAAAGACCGAACTGCAGAACCGCAGAAGAACCACAGAAAAAAAAAACAGAAGAAATATATCTCACTTTTCCAGCAGTGTTGGTATGACCAGCTCAGGTCTCAGCAAGGCCAGGTTATGCAGGGTCGAGGCAGCATCCCTGTGACCCATCTTACTGTACATGGCTAGGAACACCGGAGCCTTGATGCTCTCAACAAACGCTGTGATGTCATCCTCTTTCAGCTTGTAATCATCAGGGATCTGGTGCTGCCACGAGGGCTTCTTATACCTCTCTCTAGAAAGGATATTGGATAAATGAAGGAAGGATGGTACAGACCAGTTTAATGATACTTTCCCAGGAAACTCCATTGAAACCAGGGGGATGTTTCTTAAAGTTTGTTTTGTTATAAGCTACTAAAATCCTTGCTTCTGATTGGTTATTAGCAGATTTGTCACTGATTTTTGTCATTTGTCATTGAAAAAAGGCTTTGTGAAATGGGCCCCTGGTGACAAAACTTTGTGTGACATTTCTATAATGGTATTCAGCTTACATTCATCAGTTGTTTGTATGTCAGTTGAATTGTTCCATACATCAAGCCTCTGCGAAGCCGTTGAAGAGCTTTTAGGTGATCAAAAGATATAATTAAGTGTGAAAAAGATTCAACTATTTAATTCAACTGGTCTATCTTATGGGTAAATTAGGCCAACAATTATGGACTACATTGAGAAAGCCCTTTTCACCCACCCAAATTTTGCATCAAAATAATGCAAAGCTGCATTTTAAGTCAACTTCATTGGACAAAACAAACAGAACCCAAAATCATTCATTGTCCTATTTATTTTGCACATATTTGTTCATGGTTTTAGAAAGCTAACCAAGGGTACATGTATAATAGAAACAACAAATATAAAATAGAATATTGGCAAATATATCTCTTAAATCTGTATTGGTTGTAATCATATTATTCACCTGTGTAATCTCTTGACAAATTCACTGGATAGCTGACCAAGCATCCTTTGAAGGCTGAACTGATGGAGCAGGAATGAAATAAGAGAAAGGTAATCAAGTTTAAACTGGCTTATGCATTTTGCAGACAGTTTATTCTTGCATAAACATTTTGAAATTAAAACACCAACACCCAGATGAAATGCTATTCAGCTACGACTACATAAATAACACACACATTCAGATATACAACGTTTAGTCAGACAGTGTACTCATTTACTGCATTTGCTTTGACTTCATGGCTGCGTTGTTTAACGTTCTTATGTATTCCAGGTTTCTTGTTTTCTCTTCTTCAATCTCTGTTGCCAACGTATACTAATTACCAAGACATAATATCGTATCACTATATTCAAAATATGAGCATCAAATATCACTTCTGCAAAGAGATTCTGCAAGTTAAAATACACTCTCAATTAATGTGAGTACACTACTGGACGCACCTGTATGCGCTCACTTGAAATAGGGCTCTCATGGAACCCAAGGCCAACTTTAGTTCTGTGTGCACAGTTTTATGTTTCTTGATTAATTAATTGCTTCATTTGCCTAATCAGTTAGCCTAAAGAAATCTGGGTTTTTCTCATGCTGGTTTTAAACGTTCTAGCTGTACACAAATTAATTTTGTAAGTAATTGATACACTTTAATTCTTCTTCCCTTTGCCTATTTTCTCAATAAAAAAATAAAAACAAAAGAACAGCAAATGTACTTACAGAGTATTTTCCAGTATTGGATGGATGGAAGTATGAATCTGTTGCTACAAAGAACTTATGTAAGTGGTCCTGACAAGTTGTTGTGTGACCCTGTAAAGAGAGATAGAGAGAGAGAGAGAACAATGCAAATTAAGCAGAACATATTGTTTTGATTAAAGGGCTTGGGTACTTTGTCTCAGATTCTGAAACAAAATCCTGGATTTAGCTCATGTTGCAATGATAATTATAAACCTTTAGGTCAGTCAGGAACCCCATGACTTTTACAAGCCTGTCTGATTATCAAGATATTTATGATTGGAAATCAAAATCAAATTTTGTGTTTTCCTAATGATTTTCATAACTCTACAGTCTATTGGGGAAAACGAGTATGGTAAAACTGGTCACTCAAAGATTTTTACTTTTTTGAGGCACTTCTTGATCATTTTGAAGCACAATGATTTTTTTGGCTTCAATATTACACCATATCACAGACATTGATAACACGTAGAGCCGTGAATCTCAGATTTAACATTGTTAAACGATGCCTTTAAGCAATTCTTTAAATATGACCATAAGGAAGAAGGTTGTGTACTAAGATAACTTCTTGTTTGCTTTTACCATTCTCAATGAAATTGTCACATACTTACAGATCTACAATACAACATTTTGGTTGATCATTATTGGCCATAATTGATCATTCCTTAGAATATGATGTTTAAAACAAGGGGGGAAATCTCATGATTTTACTCTTACCAGCATTGAAACAATCCAGGTTGCAAGAGGACCAACATCAAAACCCTTCCCATTCCGAGCTACCTGAAGCTTCTTGGAACCAACAGGTAGACTAAGGCCTCTCAAGAAACATGTGAATATCTGTGCAAAAACAAGACATTAGGAAGTGAAGAAAACAAAAATTGGCATTGAATTAGTTCAGATTGACTTGTAACAGTTAATCCACAACATTTGATATTTGTAGTTCCCAATGTACATATATAGTTACAGTATTCAAACAGTCTCAAATGTTTTTTTAAAATTTATTTGTGAGTATTTGTAACCCAAAAGGCACTGATATTCAATAACTTAAGATTGATTCAGGCCAGTTAATAATCTTATGACATTTATACAGCAAACTTTATTCTACAAAAGAAGAAAATATTAACTCTTCATAAAATTAAATGCATCATGACTTTTTCACATAACGGTTTAACCCATGATGTGCTATTAGATTTTGGAAAACATATATTCTCCGTAGACACAAACCAGAGTCTGTTTTGACATGTTAACAATTTTCATTCTGTATCCTCCTTTTGGAACATTCAGTAACACATTTTTCATTTGAAAATAAAATTTGTTCTTTGTGCAATCTCAAACAACTTAAAAGTATACCCAGTTTTTTTTTTTTTAAATGATACTTGCAAAACCCAAAATGAAAACATCTTGAAACTCACCTTTGGTATATGAGGATTCCAGTCAATGTATCCTATATTCTCTGTAGCTAATCTAGAAAATAGGTCTACTAGTGCCTGTCAAAAGCAATAGAAAACACAACATTAGTCACAGCACACTCCCAAAATGCTGTAATAAAGATTTGGGGACTTGGTTGTTGAGCATAATATGAGGAGAAGAGAAGGTGGGAATATTTCAAGCAGCTGTAATGAGAAGGTTCAGAAACAGATGCAAAAAATGTTTCTAGGTTACAAGATATGGTATGGGAACTCTGATTATTTAGCTACATTACACTTTTGCTCTTTTCACCCCCCATCAACAGATTTACATATTTCCAGAAATAGAAACAGAAATTTGAAAGTCTGCTACAACTGGAGTTATACCTTATGCCAAATCAACATTTAAAAAATCTGACTGATAGAAAAGTAATTCAGATTTGTCAGTACACCAGATGTTCAAATGTTGGCAATTCAAAAGTATATTTCTGAATTCATAATTTAGGTGACTTTGTGTCACATTGCAGTCACCATAATGAAAACGATTGACAAAATGCATCATAGAAGGCAATGTCGATGATACGTATGTACTTACTGATTCTATGTGCGGAGAGTTCTGCGAATTGTTCCATATACTGATCATTTCATCCAGCCATAACCTGCAAGATAAAGATATTCAATTAGCAATCTCACTGAGTGAGTATATAAATGCTATGGTTACAACATCTACACAGAATGTACAATAGAACATTGCCGATAGATAAATTGTTCATTAAAATATGACACACCGAGCTATACAAATATCCCTGTATTTACATGGATTTTTCTGAACATATAGCTGTATGATCTACATGCCATGTTAACACAATGTACACTGTAGATGTAACTGTCTATCATTACCTCTAAGGCATTTTAGGAAAGAAAAAAAAATCCTGAATATTTCATTTTTTTTTTTTTTTTTAAAGGTTAGTTTAACACTTGGCTGGTAGTAAAAAATCAGAGTCTGGCATAGTACATAACCTTGAGCAATACATTTTATCTACACTCTTTTCCCTATCTAAGAAAATATTTGTAACCAGAAGGAAAAGAAAGTTTAAAGTGGGTAGATTAGCAAGTGTGCACCTGTAAAAAGCATGCTGACTGAAATGCTCTTTAAAGAATCTGGAGTATGGAAAAAGCAGGTTTTCCTTAGAACTTAGTATGTTTAAACCTGGATATTTCGGGGTAGCCTGTGATACAATTTTTGAACGCTTACTCTAAGGAGGTCTATTGTAATTAAAGCCATTTGAGAACTGTCAATTTGACAAATGAAGTGTTATCATCACTACAAAAATGCAACTACACTGAAACTGACAAGGCTTGAGCCTTTGTCAGCTTGCAACTTGTTACTGTGATATCTCTTGAAATGCATACTTGTCTTTTCCATCAATGTTTTATTCATTTGCAATTCACTTACTTGTCACTGCGCATGGAAATATCAATAAATACTATGTATCTATCTATCTAACAATGTACTCACTTGAAGCCATGTTGGTGATGTTCTGGTGGAAGCAGGGTTGGGAGAAAGCACTCCATGTAATGGATACCCTTGGCCATGGTCTCATCAAACGGACACAAGAGAGGGCGCCATTCCTCTAGCATTTCTCTAGTACTGTCAACTGAGAAATATCTGAAATGGTGAAAAGAATAAGGGGATTATATATTGTCTACTTCATGCATACAACATATCGAATAGTTGAAGGACTTTGAATTTACAAAATCCATGCTGACATTGAAATCTAATACCTGGGTACATGTTTTTTTTTTAGTGTTAGGTAAACATGGTTGCAAGAATAAGACAGATTTTATTTTGTCTACTTCACGCATACAACATATCAAATAGTTGAAGGACTTTGAATTTACAAAATCCATGCTGACATTTAAATCTAATACCGGGGTACATGTTTTTTTTTTAGTGTTAGGTAAACATGGTTGCAAGAATAAGACAGATTTTATTTTGTCTACTTCACGCATACAACATATCAAATAGTTGAAGGACTTTGAATTTGACTTTGAAATCTATGCTGACATTTAAATCTTTTTCATGTTGTTTCAATAGCGTTAGATAAACATGGTTGCTCCATTTGATCTTTTCAGTTTTTAAATTAATTCTATTTGAAGGACTTTGAATTTACAAAATGCATACTGACATTTAAATCCAATACATGTTTTTTTGTATAGTGTTACATGTAGATAAACATGGTTGCTACATTTAATAATTTCTATTTTGCAAGTACAGTAATACTATTTTGTTGAATTAGTTCTCTTTCGCAAGTCAAAATTTGACAACCTATTAGACCCAAATTTACTACATTTTTGCATGTGCTCACCTTTACTACATTTCTTAAAACAAATTTTTATGTCAAACGCTTATATGATTTTCAAGCCTTCACTTAGAAATTAATGTTATCCTCTTTCACCATTTCAGCCATGCCCCAGTGTCAGAATTTTTGTATTCCTAAATCACTTTACATCTGGTTTTCAAATAACAATTAAGTTACCCACAAACTCTACATCTTCATTACATATCATGTGACGAGAAACTATTTTTTTCCTTTTGAAGTTCTCAAATATGGCTGGGGGGGGGGGAGATTGTGACCCCCCCCCCCCCCCATGGATTTTTGACGGCAGATAAACACATCTCCATCATTCAGATGAGAGGCATATCAATAAAGCATACTCTTGGATATTTAATGGTACTCTATGAAAAATAAATCTATAATTAGAGAAAGTATTCTGTGCATCAACACACTTACGGTCTGGACATCCGCATGAGGGACTTTAGACGATTTTCCAGGGTGCTGAATAAAAAATGTAGAAAGGAGAGATTGATAAAAAAAAATATCTGAAAAGACTGCAACATACCAATATCATTTGAAATTTAAGTGATACCATGATCCATGAGGTCACTGGTTAGCCACTCAAAACCTATCTTTTCAAATTGTAAATTGCAGTTGTGCGTCGGTCAATGGAGGTCGCACCATATTTGCCTTTATTTAGTTGATTGCCACTGTTTTTCTTACCTTATCTATGTTACTTTTGTATTTTTGCTTTTTCTTCTAATTTAATTCTACGGGTTATAGTCTTCTCTTAATCAGAACACTGTGCGCTTAGAAACATCAGTATTAAGCGCCTAATAAATGTTATGTATTATTATTATTATTATCTACATTTCAACAGAAATATGGACATTGACTATTGAAGACGATATATTGTTTGAAATTTGAGTGATTACAAGATCCATATGGCCACTGGCTAGCCACGTCCATCAACAAATCTACGTTTACTTCAACAGAAATATAAAAATTGATTAATGAAGACAAACTAAGAATGACAAACAGAATGACTTCTATTACAATTCAATTCAGTGGTGTCATTTATATTTCCATTGTGGCATGTTGCCAAATTGTGAAAATATGTACTTAGTAAACTCTACCTAGAGGCATATTTTCTTCACTCCATTTTGCAATAGCGCCATGTCAATGGACAAATGGTAGTTTAATATGATCTAGAAGAATTAGACAGAATGTCAATGTAAAAATATGTTGATTTTAATATAAATTCGACTAATACCAAACCAAATTGGTATGCATTGAACATATTAATGAATGCCTACAGTTAACAGCATTCAATTATTTGAATATCGTATTCACACGCTAATAAATACATAAATGTTCATTTGCAATTTTACATTGGGCAGTTGGATAAATTTGTTACATACATGTACATCAATGAGTAAAACCAAACTAAAATGGACACTTACTGTGGATACCATTCTAAGCCCAATGGTTCATATGGTGAGTACATGATCCTTTCAACAATCTTGTAGAGGGGTCGCCAGGGTATAAGCAGGTCGTCTCGTGACAGCAAACTTCGCTTCCTGAAGGCAGAGGGGTACCATTTGTTTCAATTATTTATTTTACTATACAGTCAACATTGTTTTTATGTATCAGGACATTTTAAGAATTTAAATATGTTTATTATCACTTGAGCATGTTTCAACTTGAGTCACTCACAAGCAATCTATAACATGTACCCCCCCCCCCAAAAAAAAAAAAAAAAAAAAATCATTATTCACATCAATTAATAATTCAAAAGGATAAATTATCCATTATAATGTGTAGGAAATTAATATTAGGCATTGTTGCAGAGCACCTTAAACAACAAAGGCAAGTATGTAACAGAGAATGGGTTGAGAAGTTCTAAACAAGGCATGAAATATAAACATACCCTCATACATGTTGACTTGCAAATTACAAATTTCCCCAGTGCAGTTTTATATCAACCTTGGCCTTAGGGAAATATTTATACATGTAGTCACAAAATATTGAATTAGTCTATTAGAACCAATAAACAATATGAGTAATCTCTTTGATTGTTTACATAAGTTCAAATACCTCACTCCAATCCCTCAAAAGAGAGTGACTATGGAAGAACAAAATCTGGTTTATTTGGCAAAAGGCCAAAACTTTATTGATTTGATAAATCAACTTCATTTCAAAATGGCGATGTTCAATATTGCTTTCTCACTAAAATATGATCAAATATATGATTCAGTCAACATCAAATCAAAATGGTGTTATTCAATTTTGCCTTCTCACTGGGATATACCCATTTATCTTCTGACAATGTCAACAATGATCCAAGGTCAGAAATGGCATAAGAGTAATCACACTTGTTGGCAACGAAAGATTTCAACAGAATGCAATGGTGGGGGGGGGGGGGGGGTCACAGTAAGTGAATCCAATATGGCTTCTTGCAATAAGCTGCAACGTCATTATTGTGGAAGATATAAGAACATTCCATAGTGAAAGGATAAAACAACCCGAGGGCATCAATTTTGCTTTGTCATTGTAAAGGGACTACCGGTATGCAAGCTCCTACTGCTAAATAATCAAATAAATTGGCTTTATCCTGATATTAACTTGAATAATCAAGAATCACCAATTACACAAAATGTGTCAGTGACCACTTCAATAACTGCAATTATTCCAACTTTTCAGCAACTCGTAATTTGATTGTTTTATCTTCTATGCAAAATATATATTTAAAAATAAAAAGGCAATTTGCCATTCCTGCCTCTCCCCCCCCCCCCCCCTTTTTTTTCCCCCCTCTCTCAATATACTGAGTTGCTGGATCCTACTTACTATCGATATCCATTAGATATCTTCCATATTAAAATTGTTTATGCAAATTCCTTCCTGATAAACCTCTGGCTGGATGACAGATCTACCAAAATTAAGTATGGTGCATTTCAGAAGAAAAAAACATTGTCAACTAGTCAACTTACTTGAGAAGTATGTTCAGAATTCTGGCAAACTCTGACATGATCTTGAACTCCAAATCTGGAATGTTGATAAGTTCCAGATAGAGCTTGATGAAGGCCACATGCTCTTCCTTGCTGAACTTTCGGCCATAATAACGTATATACCTAAGGGGGGAATTCAGTTTTAATATTTAGTGTTCCTTGACCCACCAAGTGACCAATTCATTGCTAATTGTTTAAAGGTTGCCAAGGTTATCTTATAAGTGAAGAGAGGTGTCTCAATTTATTATTTACTAATTCATTAGGATTCCTGGTTGCTGGAGAGTTATGACCTTGATATTGTGTGTATAAAAAACTGATTACCTGAAATACATTTCATGTACTGTCTATATCTTCAACAAGGCAAGTCACCTTTAAGTCAACGTCCCATCAATATTTTTTTCCCAAATCTAATAATTGTTTTGTGACGCCAACAGTTAACAGTCAGCTGGCCCGAGAATGAGGATCGTCTGCATAAACGAGGATATCTCCGTAAACGGGGACAAATTGCATCCTAAAATTGTAAAAAGTAATGATCATCCGCACTTTCTTGGACGTTTTTTTTCTTTGGCGCTCTGCGGGTGTAGGGTTCCTGGTCCGCGCACTGCGCTGGCAATGTAAAAAGCTAAAATACTCCCAGTTCACCCTCTACTTTTATGGGTTGTCTGTCTTCCCAAGGATTTATCATTCATAATGTGAAAGTCTCTGTGCTGCGTCAATGAGAAATGCATCATCATTGATCATGGAGCATCAAATTACATCATCATCATGGAATCAGTTTTTAGCATCGCCAACACGCGGACAATCTTATTTTTTAGGACGCGATTTGTCAGTTTACCAGCGCCCCTCCTGGTTAATGACATTTTACTATTTAAAAATTCAACTACTTGAACTAGGTCTATTTAACTTTTAGTTTAGTTTTAAGCTTAATTTAGATCTAGACTAGATCTAGACCAAATTTTCCGTCTCTTTCGTTCGTTAGCCTCTTATTGGGGTAGGGTCGGCCGGCTCTCTCTTTAGAGACGGAAACCGTCTATACACATTCCCTTGATAACGCCACGGCCATTTCAGGTCGTAGCGTTTTGCCCCCAAAATCCCCCTAAATGTCATTTTACCTTGTGCATGTTATATTGTAAATTAGGCCTAGGCTATAATAATTCAGTTCCACTTACCAACTTGACTGAAATAATCCGTTTAATGGTCCCTTTTAAGGAAATTATGGGTCAAAATCGACATCCATGTTGAAAATCTTGCAAGCCGTGTTAAACTCTCGCTGCCGGAGTCATCTAAATCAATCTCATCCCTTCTAGTCTACGCCGAAGGCAAAATGATTATGAAGGATAAACTGTGCGCCATCTACACGTTCGTAATGGCGTTATCACAGTTTTTCCTTCATAATCATTTTGCCTTCGGCGTAGACTAGAAGGGATGAGATTGATTTAGATGAGTCCGGCAGCGAGAGTTTAACACGGCTTGCAAGATTTTCAACATGGATGTCGATTTTGACCCATAATTTCCTTAAAAGGGACCATTAAACGGATTATTTCAGTCAAGTTGGCAAGTGGAACTGAATTATTATAGCCTAGGCCTAATTTACAATATAACATGCACAAGGTAAAATGACATTTTGGGGGATTTTGGGGGCAAAACGCTACGACCTGAAATGGCCGTGGCGTTATCAAGGGAATGTGTATAGACGGTTTCCGTCTCTAAAGAGAGAGCCGGCCGACCCTACCCCAATAAGAGGCTAACGAACGAAAGAGACGGAAAAAATTTGGTCTAGACTAGATCTAGACCTAGATCTAGACTAGATTTTGTTTCTTTAAAAATTACCAGTTTGCAGCTGGACTTAAATTTAAAAACATTTTCAGATAAATATGAAATGTAATTCTCAAAACTATAGTGCAAGGTATATCATATCAACTTCAAGCTTTAACGTGTGTGGTTGTTCATTGCTATTTGAGCAATTGAGTGTTTGTATTAATAAATGTGAAACATGCAAGCAGCTAGCGGCTAGCAGCAGAAGCGAGGGGTCCTAACGGAAAAGGAGGTCAACTTACGCCGAAAACTTCCCGGTCCAAAAAAGCACACCAGGGCGAAGTTCACGAAGCTGCACAGCAAGCGATAAATTGGTTTTGATTTCAGTCAGATGTCTCTCCGATTCCTCCTCAAATTCCGAGGAGTACGGTAGCAATTTGTTGTAAATCAATTCTTTTTGGTAGCGGGGATCTTTCCCGTCTTGCTCATCCATGGTGAATGCAATGTTTGATCGAATAACAGCTTCCAGCTCAGATTTTACAATGAATTGCCCATTTCACAAGGCTGACATGTTTTACCTTTTTACACACGTCATGACTAGTCGATATGGTTTGCAGGTTTCAGACTTTTATAATGACTGTGCTATGATAATGGATCACAAACTAAGAGCTTATTTTCTTATATTGTTAATTTTATAAGAAATGTTTGCCATTCAAAATGTATTTTTGCTTCATTTGAAATTCATTGGTGCTCCATTATACATAAAATATAAAAGACAGAAAGAACAATTTCATGCTGACTCTCCCTACCAAAGAAAATGGATTTAACTATTACAAGCAATGATCTAATTAATAAAGTTAAAAACTACAATCTTTATTGTTTGAAAAAACATGTTTCTCTGAATATCTCAGTGAATTAATGAATATTATATTTATCAGTTAAAATGTTGTTTTTTTGTTCTATGGTGATTAAATCTAACTTTTATTATCTAAAGAGAATGAACGAGGGTAGGATATATTTCAAGATTGTAAACATGGCGACAGGAGCGTCTGCTTCGGCAAAACAGATCGTTTGGAGGTCAATAGATTTCGAGATATTTGGGAAAGTTCAAGGTAAAACTGGTTATACCAAAAAATTACAACAGTAAAGTATTGTCTGAACATTTTCTGAAATTATGCGCACATGTTAATCAAGAACATTCCCGAAAAATAGAAATGATGAAAGTGGGAGGCCCGGGAGGAGATAACGTCAACGATCCGCCTCGGGAGCGTGGCGGCGACTCCGGCTGTCCATGCCGGTGACAGCAGGATGCACGTGTACCAATTACGACTATTACTACTAGACCTAGTACCAGTACTACTACCAGTACTAGTCTAGTAATTTGTGCATAAAAGAACTCTACTTCAATTCACTTTCTTTAGCTTTCATCAATTCACAATCTCCCTCCCTCTGTAAAGTCTGGTCACTGGATTTCAAACCCACACACAAAATGCAAGTGTGCACCATCTCCATCCCAAGCCTAATTTGCGTGGATGCATGTATGAACCAGACAGAAGGTTGAGGGCCCCAGTGCAGTCTGATGTGGCTCGGGCCAGACAGGCACAGAGCCAGGCTCATTAAATAAGAAATTAATAGGTCTTCAGAGAGTATTTATAACTGTAGGGTAATAAGTACTAGTATAATTGTACCTATAATAATTTACAAGATATAACCTATACCCAGACGAGTGTTGTTCGGCAGTTGATTTAAAACAGCAATTTGAAGAAGTTTGAATGCATTATTTCATAAATCTCATAAGACTTGACCCATCATTTTTCTCATTGTTGAAGTAGATCTTACTAACTACATCAGACTGTTTATGTGAAATAAGATATATATTTGTGAGTTTTGAATCTGCTCTGGAGTTGTTTGCTTCACAACAAAATATGATCATCTGCTTCAGAGTTCAGAAAAGTGTAGAATTGGTTGCTTAATAATTAATCAAATATAGAAAATCATTTGAAAAAAAATGTATTACTTTTAAGATACAGCAACCTCTGCAAAACTTTCCTTATTAAAAGCGAAATTAACTTTTTTAATTATTTTTACTTTGTGGTTATTTTTCAGGTGTCTTCTTCAGAAGGGTAAGTAAATATTGAATTGATATAGTATTATCTTTGAACTTTTTGGCCTTTTGGGATGACTCTATTTATTGTTAACAATAACAATCAAAGGAAATGGAAATAGTATGAATTTTGTTACATTGTACAATCTAACAATGATATACATGTATGTACAGAATATTCTTCTTTCTAGATATTTTAGGCAGTTTTGCAGCAAAAGTGTATAAAGTCTTTTCTATAATTATTTTACGAAATGGGGAAGAGTTCTTTTCAGAAATAACAACAAAACTTGTGTTTGAGTTGCAATAAAATGTGATCTTTTCAGCTTGCTGAGCTGTATGTGCATGTATACATGTACAAATACAGATACTGCTTACGAGGTATCCTTTTTTGTTTATTCTTATATAAGTTAACTCTTACGCCCAGTTGGTTGACATCTAATCAAATAACCCTAAATCATGCATGTTCCTGAAAACTGACTTCCCTCCTTTATAAACGTTACTAAAACCAACGTCATACTTCATTCCATGTTGTGTATATAAAATGACCCCAAAATCTAATCAGTTCAGTGGCTCTGCAAGATACAAACACGTCTTGAGTTTGATGGTAATTCATCAATCAGTTCTTGAGATAATGCGATCACGAGAACGGGACGTGCGGACAGATAACCCGAAAACATAATGCCTCCGCTACATACAATTAGTAAATGTTTAATCCCTATTTTGTGTCATGGTTTGTTAAGAGGCTGTTGTTAATTTGTGTTCAATCATTAGCCATAACAAGCAGTGGAGATGGCTTTTGCAAATCGTAATATCAACCTTTTTAATTCCCAATCAGGATACAAGAAGGAAAGCAAAAGAGCTAGCCCTCACAGGATGGGCACAGAACACCAGCAAAGGAACAGTCATAGGACAAGCCCAGGGACCTGTGGATAAAATCAAAGTGATGTGAGTGCCGTCTAATAGACCAAAGAATATGAAGATATTGTTGATATTGTTAATAGTAAACTAGGAAGTTGCAGCTGCCAACTAACAAAATGAAATTAATATATGAAATGAAAGAATGAAGAATTGTGAATGACCACTGCCTGGAATAGAAGACATAGGAAATCTAATCTCTTTTTTTGTTTGTAAGGTTATAACTACTTTTAGGTATTGTCAATATGGAGTATTAATGTATTACACATTTTGTTTAGCGATTGCAGTGGTCATATTTAGTTTTGGTGCTTTTTCTTCTTTTAAAAAAAATTAATATTTGCAGTACTTTAAATAAAGGCCTTTTACATGGGTTCCATTAAAAACATTACATTTTTGGAAAAAGGATGTTGAAAACAATTTTTATTTAGCATCTAAACTTCTGTACTCTATAGGGAAAAATATGACTGTACTTCTTGTCACAAGAAATTAAGTAAGGAATGTGATAAATTGATATTAAATTTGTACATTTAGTAAACATGTACTTGTAAACACATGTACTGTCATTTGGATTAACAGTGTTTTGAATTCCAAGTCTAAGATATCACCCTACATGTACATCTGTGGAAAATTTTCTTTCATTTTTTTTAAAATCACAATCCGGAACAATTTCTCCCCGTTTTACTTTTTGTCCTTGTAGGAAAAGTTGGCTAAAAACTAAAGGAAGTCCAAAGTCCAGGATCGACAAGGCCGTGTTCTCCAATGAGAAAAATGTAGATGAGCTGACTTTCAAAACATTTGATATTATAAGGTAGCATCATTAGCATCAAATTGGGAATACTACAGTGAATGTACAATTTTAGTATTTATTTTTTCAACATTAAATGTATATGGTTTTATTTTCTCAAAGTCTGCAGTGATGTAACTTTCATTTATGATTTGCTATTTAATGTATACTAGAACAGTTAAAGTCAGCTTCATTGTAACTAAATGTTCTGAAGAGAATACTGCCAAATTGTTTGTTTTTTGTTAGTTTTAAGTGGACAATGCTAAGTTTGGTTCTGCACCTGTACATGTACATAAACGTTTACAATGAAACACCTTGAACCCATAACCATGCAATACTAAAACCACCGACACAATAATCTAGTGCCACAAATAATCCTTGTGTCTCCTAGAATGCCTCAAATGTCTGAATTTTCTAGTTTATCACAGATTGCATTAGTACTCCAGCAGAACATTTGAATCAAGGTTCCACTTGTAAAACCTGGATATTAAATGAAAACTTCTTTACAAAGATATGTTGAGCTTGAGAGGTATACAGACACAATTCTGTACAAATTTATTGATATGCTATGATTATTATTCTGAAACATGGGGGGGGGGGTTTGAAGGGAGATGTACACATAGTTATAATCTGGCAACATTTCAAGTAATCTGTTTTCTAATACATGTACAAAACATTTATAACCATGTTATATTGTTATTTTGAATGAAGGGGACATGTATTCATTTCTTTGCATTCGTAAAGTAAAGCTTGACAGTCTTTCAATTTAATGTTTTGAAATTAAAATGGGGACTTATATTAGGTTTTGATTTTACACTCGAAAAAAACACTGTAGAATGAAATCTGTTTTACAAATTCAACTGGGTAAGAGGCTTACTAAAGTTATAATGATAATTTTCCATTTCAGATCAATAAAGTCTGTACTTTACCTAAAATAAATTAAACATAAAAAGGGAATGCACAGCAGTTCATGTACTATACCAACTTCTGGAATAAATTGCATTCAGGTGTTTTGTAAATGAAATTATAACAAACATTAATACTCTTGAAGTTGACTCTGCCCTATTAAAAATGAGGCAGCTTAAGCTTTAGGAAGTGCTTACTGCCACAAAATACTGTCCATGCACATATGTATTTAAAACCATAGTTCTTGTGTATACGTACATTATCTTTTGTTTTAACATGTATTCAACAGCATTTGAAAAGGAAAGTCATGTTTTATTTTCAAATTAAAGAACTTTAAAATATTTGCAAGGTTTGTTATCTTATAATAAATATGTTTGTATGTATGCCTGCAAAAATGTATTTCTTATTTCTTTTTGTCTTTGTTTTTCATTGTGATACACAACCCCATGTACAGAACTAGGCCGATCTCATTTTCACTAAGTCACAATATAGAGTTATCAAGACTTCTGTTATATGATGAGAAAAATATTAAATTAAATTACATGGCCTCTAACTGCAAAGCGAGGGAATGTCCTTTGAATGCATACCAGTACATGTTTATAATGTTGCAGCTGGGGGACAAAGTGTAAGAGGTGTGCCCTAGTCTGTGATTGGCAAATGTTCTAAACATTTTGACAGTTGATAAAAATATCCCATTTCAAGGAGTCGATTACCAACATCATGTCAGATGTGAATGTGATACAATGCAAATGCCGACTGATTATGTTACTGGTCCTAACCGGTTAACACTACAGCCCTCGGTGACCTCGAGACTGCTCTACCTCTTGATTTCATGTTGAGACAAAGAAGTATTATTACATCACCTGTAATAAGGCATTAGCTTTACCATTGCTCTTAACTCGGTATTTGTACACCAGTCTTACTTTTATTCCACATGATATCCGACAATATTTCACTTTCCATCAGTGAATTAACCCGTCTTGCCTAACCTGACTTAAAACATACTTCCCTCAGTTACTTAATGTGATTCATAAGTCTATGTTTCTATTCACATTCTGTAATTTGTAAGTGCTATGGTACCTTTGTTTTTAGCAGTCCTTAAGGATCAACATTTTTATATATTTGTAGAGTCAGAAAAAATAAATTATCTTACAGGTGAGAACTGAACTAAAATTATAATTGCATCTATTCATTTGTAAAGATGCTGATTTGAAGTGACCTAATTTATTGAAACACGAGTTCACACATACACAAATAGTAAAACAAAACAGAATGTTGAAGAAAAGTAGAGAATTCCCAGATGAGCTTGAAAATCAGATGTCTATGCACTGTAAGTTATCACATGTTGCTCCGAACTTGAAGAAGGTCACATCAAGGTCATAAATCCAGATAATTTAGCTCCATGGTTCGCGAAATGTGTGTCATTTACAGTATGTTTCACTACCTTTTGAATAGTCTAGTATTCTGTAAGTTCATGATTTGTTCTATGTTGCTATTTCCATTCACATCACTGTGATATTTTCATAACAGTAGCCACATCTGCAAATAAATTGACAAAGAAAATAAAACATAGATATTTAGTAATTTCCAGTAACGGTACCAGATACATTTTGCTAAAAATTTTGCCAGTAAAATTACAACTAAAGTATTTTAAATATATATATCTAAAAACTCTCCTGAACAAATATACCTGTACAACTGTACTAGCAGATTTTTATATACTTAATACTGTAAACTATTTGAAAAACTTAGATCATTACCAGTGGGAAAAATACTTATGATTGAATTTCTGAATGCATTAGAAATATAATATGAATACGTACTAGTTAACCTTTTTAATGGCATGGCGTGTACAAAAAATGATCACATGTTTTACACCAACAGTCAATTATTTGATTCAATCAGACAATAATTTTGGGAGTGCACTCTGCTTGCACTAAACCAAGAAGACAAACTGAAATATCAACTCTAAAATTCCATTTCTCATTATTCCAACAATATCCTGAAACATTGCCACTTACTATCAAAGCCGATCTTCTCCGTGATGTTCTTTGTCTTGACACTTTCCTCCTGATTGGAAATGAAGACCTTTCCGCCATCGAGCTCCTTCCAGTCATAGTTGGCCATCCATCTCTTGAGCTCAGTGTCGTCAGAAACTCCCAGAAGCTCTCCAAGTTGTACCTTCTCAATCGTCTGGTAGGTGCTGTTGATCACGTGGCAGATGACTGGATTGTGGAGTAATTCAAAATGTTCACACACAAAAAAAAATCATAACATAATTCCCCATTTCCAAGGGGCAAAAAGAATACATGTGCAGTAGTTGGTTTTACTCTGTTCATTTCAAATTGATACAAGCATGCTTGCTTTTTAAACAAAGGCCTCAATTGAAGAAAGCTTATGGATGATTGTCTGATATAACATAAAATCATGTATATATACGAATTGGATCTGATGTAAGTTATTAAATGTACATGCAGCAAATGCTGTTTTTTTGTTGGTCCTTATTCATCTGACCACATCATGCTTGCAACTGTTGACACAAAAACAAAGGGAACCTGAACGTTTCCTTTAATATTGAATGTATATCAGGAGTTTATACTACTTACATTTTCGGATGGCATTGTGGAAACCGGCAACAGTCTGTAACGCTGTAGTTCTGGACTCGTACTTAGTCTGTTGAGGTACATGGAACATGGATGGAAACTTGACAATTAGGGCGCAGAAATATCAATTGTAATGTGGATAGTTGTGGACAAAACAGAATCTAAGTCATTATGAATTAAAAAAATTACAAAAATCGAATTAATTGTATTAATACACCTGTAGAACGATATATAGAGAACCTTCAATTAATAATTTCATCTTTATTATCATGAAAAGGGCAAGTGCAAACTACATATTTTGTCCCATACTTTTATACTGACCACATCAAAGATTTCAGTATATTTGATGACTGTATCAGGCCGATAGCCCCAATAGAGCTTGAATCAGATAAAACATTAATTATAAAATTATTTTTTTTATATTTTTTTTGTTTTCAATCCATGTTAGGCAATCAAGTTCAGTAATACTTAGTAAATGTATGGGACATACCTTGTACTTGCCCAAAACCCATTAACTTGAACAAGAGCATAATGACATTAGATGAAATATCATGAGGAACAACCTTTCTACTGCTAGATAAAATACTTCACTAAGAAACCAAAACTATCGAGAGTAATTGAACCCTTTATTTACAATATGCTTCATAACGATGAATTGGAGATGATACTTAACATTTAGTTTGAAGAAAAATTGAAAGTCACATTAATAGAAACTATTGAAACTTACCCAGAATTCTTTGAACTGACAAGTTTCTAATAATCCTGCAAAGTAGCAGATGGATGCTAACGGTTCCTCCTGTTGCTAGAAGTATAGTATTAAGGAAAATACAACTGAAACAAATCTAACAACACAGAGGCTGATATTTCTTTTAACAATTGGTCTCGGCACATCCAAAAAATAAGCACTGTCTTTAATAGAAGAGTATGGCCGAGGAGTTAAACTTCCTCATGCTCCATCAAAAAAAAAGCACTTCTTCTGATACTGATGATTTTTCAATTCATGTAATTCATGCGTATTACCTTCACAACCCCAATGCACAATAAACATAAGAATAGCACTAAACATTAAAATTTGTTATAATACTGTATAACACTTGCAATATTTTGCCTTCTTTAAGAAGGGAAGGAAGCACTATGTAAGAAGCTAAAGTGTCCAGCATTGCTTTCCTTTTATTTGTTAACAAAAGTTCTCTCAGATGAATTATTCTGACAATGTTTCTCTCAGATAATGTGTCAACTCATGAAAGGAACTGGCACCTCTGCATTTATGCCTTTGCAATAACTACCTCTAAGGTTTATCAAAAAAACATACCTTTAAATGCTATAAAGCCGATGTGAAGAGTTTTATCTTCAAATGGAATAGTGAACATGGAATTGGGAGAGGTAAAAATAATTTTAGATCCTTCATAGGATCTTAATTCCCATTCAGGTGTGACTGGTATGTTTATAATGGACAGCTGTGTGTGGTGTGCACTGTGCATGATTTGTACAAACCTCTCTTGCCTGTACTGAGCCATGGTCTTGGGTATTGACAGATTGGAGTGACAGCCTTAATTTGTTTTTTTCCCTTCTTTTCTTCAGGTATCTAAAACATCTTAGATAGAATGTTGAAAATAGTTGGCACAAGTACTGCTTGGGCTCAAAACGCATTCATACCGCCTGTGCTACAGCATTTTTGTATTGTACAAAAACTGTACAAAAACTGTACACTGTACACAAAAAAGCCGGTATTTTTTGGGAAGAGCGCCATCTACTGTTCGAGAGTTCGAGACCTGTAAACATCGTTGCAGTGCTAATTACACAGTAAGGCTAGGCCTTATGCAGTTCTACGGTCTTGGAAGTGCAATGCACTAAGCACGTACATGTACGTGGTGAGCAGTCAAGTGGTTAACAAGTCTCCTTGGTGACCTTTTACAATTATAACTACAGGCAGGCATATACACTTTCTTTAAAAAGGATACAACATCACTGTCCAGAAGGCACTTGCATAGGATGATGTCTGTGTGTGGAAGGTTGGTCATAGCCTTGAGAAAGATCAGAGCAGCTATTGGCATTTTGAAGTGTGATGGGTTCAGCTGATACCTATGGGCATGAAGATGGTAAAAAATAGAGAGAAAAGTCATTGACAATATTGAGGGGTGATAGTGAGCACTACAAAAAAAATAGGTTTTTTGTTTTCCCCTCAACCACGCCCCCCTTGAGTAAAAAAAAAAAAGAAGAGGATTCGCGCCGAAAAAATGGCATCTACCGGTAACAACATTCCCCCCTTTCGAGTAAGAAAATTGGGACAAAGTTGGGGGAAAAAAAGGGCAAAATAGGGAAGAATAGAGAAAATAAGAGGGAAATCAGGAAAATCAGGATAAAATAGGGAACACAGAAAAAAAAGAAAACAAAAAAATTAAATCGGGAAGAAGAAAAAAATCTGGAAAAATCAAAAAATTTGGGGAAGCCGATTTAAATCGGGTTTTTATCAGGCCTGAATATTTCAAATGAAACTAATTCTAATTTGCCTATATCTTTGTGGAAAAATAAGTATGAATTTACCTAGTATCACTTACTGTCAATATTCACATTTTAGAATTAAATATTACACTGGATTGCTACCTCAAACTATATCCTCGCCAGAATCAGAATATAAATCCTACTTATTAGTTCTGTATAAAATATTATATCAAAAGAACATCAAGTTATTTGATGTTCTATGACCCTATGTGGAAAACAAACTCCTGGATGTTTGTCCATTTATTTTCTTTCTCTTTTTCCCCTCCTGAATCAGACCAGACTAAAAAATTAAATCATTACATTTTGACAAATGCCTTTTTTTAATCCACAACTTATCAGTGTGCTTTGGAATCTGAGTTGAAGTAAAGTCATCATGTTTGGTTGTAATTGCATGCCTGTAACATCTTGTATACATACATGTACCTGTACTAACATTTATCCCACTCGATACTTACAGCTTGAGAATGGCAAGATTTGCCTCCAGATCATATTGGTTTTCTCTCCCTTGGATTTCCACATAATTCTCCAGTAGAGCTAGATTTTCTGGATTGTACCTGGCCAAAAAGAATAGCAGGGAGAAGAAGAAAAAAATCAGTTAAGCAATAATAATCAGGATGGATATTAAAAGGAGCAAATTAATTACTGCAAACTATTTTACTCTGGACGTAAGGGGTTCTATGCTAAAATACAATTATATTTTTAAAAATAAGTTCAAAATCATTCCTGCAAAAAGATAGGTACAGCTTCTTTGATAATATAGATACACTGTAAAAGATGGACTTTACATGTACATGTAAATGTATGAGCATAGAAGTAACCCAAGTTACCCAACCATGATTTAAATTTAATTCACAATTTCTTTTGATAAAACAAAACAAAAAAAAAGACTAACTGATAACTCAATTTTAAAACATTTTGAAATGATGATTTACAATAAGATGCCAGCTCTGGTAACAACAACAAACATAAAATGAAAGAAGAATGTGAGTATGAGTTTGGACTTAAAACATTGACTGACCATGCCTTAAAAATATAAACAGAAAGGTTATTTTAAGAATTAACTACCCTCTGAAATAAGAATGTAATCTTTTGTAGGTGCGACATCTCCTCCTATAGAACTTAAACTTGTGTCCTTGTTGTTAAGAACAAAGAGTGCAGCTGGATCAAAGTCTTTCAAATCATCATTCAGCAACTTAAATACCTGAATCATACCAGGGAAAAAAATTAATTTTTATTTTTCGGGGGCTACTTTTCAACCTTGCCTGCATGAAAATATCATTCTAAAATTTGTTTCGCATTGAACTCTATGCAAATTTTCGGGGGCTCTTTTCTGATTTTCGGGGGCTCTTTTGGGCATTTCGGGGGCTATTTCGCCCTGAGCCCCCGTGTATTTTTTTCACTGAATCATACTGTATGCCCGTTCACGCCTGTACTCTAGGGATGAAATTCCTATATGCTTGAGTCTTTCAGAACAGGGTTGTTGATTTTTTTGATTTTTTTTAAAAAATCAAAAAAATCGGATTTTTATGATTTAAATCAGATTTTTTTTTTTTTTTCCAACGAAAAATAATGGTCACACTTAACAAGTTTTAGACTATATTTAAACTGTTTTACACCAATAATAGTGGTCAAGTAGTCTTTTGAACATTGTGTATTGTACTATTTGACACAATAATCCACTTATATACAGGTAATTTTTTTTTTTTTTTTTTTATTTATTTGCATTATAGAGAGGGACATTTTATGGAAGCCCAAGTAATGTTATGTATTATGTATACATTTAAACTCTTGAAATTTTTATATCAGTCTGTACGTTAACATCTAATTTGAATGTAACATTTAACCAGATTTGCAATAGGCACTTCCTGATATGCTTGTAACAAAATACACATTTTATGTTTTCATTACAGTGTAACCTCAGTTCCAAATAAAACTTCAATAAATTTTGTTGCAAGATGCAGGATAAGCACCACTGTCCACCACATCATTGATGTGCTGTTTTTTCAAACTATTACATGAACAAGCAAGCACAGCAGTTGTATTGCTGCATACAGTAACACTTGCCCAGCAACTTTCCCATTTTTAAATTCTTACTTATTAAGTATACATGTGTACTTTGAAATTGTGTAATTGAATGTATGGGTATTGATAAGAAAATACACAAGCATGCAAATATACATGTAATTCTTATCAAATGTACACATATGCCTTCAACTTAAGTAATTGAAAGAATGGGTATTAATAGTAACAAGAAGGAGGTACATACAAGTAGTTCAGCTGTTTTGTAAAAGTATCCAAGTTGTGGACTTTGAGCACCTTTGTAGATTTTATATATTATTTTATTGAAGATTTAACAGTTTGGTGTACATACAGAGAGTTATTTATCATTACTTCGTTAGAAACTTGTTGTTTTCATCAGTTTTTGCTTGTTTTACAATTTGAAAATAAAACAGTGGTGTTAAATCAGACTCCATGAGGGTGTATCATTCTTTTAAAGTATCTCTAAAGCATGTGGAACAGAAATGAAAATGATTACATTGAAAGTATCTGTTAAGAAGAAGAGAAAATAGAGAAAACTAATTTTTTCATAAAAGTTGATTTAAATCAGTGATTTTTTTGAAAAAAATCAAGTGATTTAAATCGCGATTTAAATCATGTCGATTTAAATCAAACAACCCTGTTTCAGAATATCACAATAATCTCACTTCAGACACCAACGTGGTAGCTCTTCTTCTCTGAACAGACTTACTGACTTAAGCTTACTTGCATCTCTCTTTGTGAGTTCATTTTATACACATGAACAGTAATATAAAAGTGGTCTGATAAAGGCCATATATAATAATACAAAGTTACATACACATGTTTTGTAAGGTGAGAAAAGGGCATATTGGCCAAGTACTTTGTTTGCCTTGGCAGCTACTTTATGTACATCCTGAGAAAAAAAATTAGATTTAGAGAGAAGTAAACCCCAAGAACCTTTTCCTCATCAACTGTTCTATATCCTCAAGTTGATCAATAACATCACTTTAATGATTCTGGTATTGATGCTGAGGGTTCCTGCAACTTTGGTGCACAACTTGACACTTCTCATGACTGAATTTAAGCTGCTATACCCTTGACCAGGGCACCAGGCCTCAGGAGGCGAGCTGGCTCAGTCGGTAAAGCATCTGTAATGATATGGATATTCTCGTGTTTACGTTTTCCTCAAAGGTTCATTGACCTACATGTACAAGGCAAATTCCTGGTAGATTTCGCTAGAACTATGTTTACAAACATACATGGTGAATTCCTTGTACGCTATTTTTAACACCTGTTCCGAGACGTTGCGCTCTTAACTTTGGCTCTACTTTTTCGGCTTGGCCGATTGGATTAGGTGTCGCTGGGCGTGTCGCCACAGTTGACTTAAATTTAATTAGGCAAATTTGGGAAATAGATTTGTATTACAATTGGAAGGGTTTTTCCTTGTTGCCGGGTCTGTTCACACTATCGAAATAGTATGAGAGAGGAAGTGAGGATTACATGTGTGTAATAGCCAAAAGCATGTGGGCTCGCTAGTGTGGACGGACATAGCAACATTTATCCCTTTTTATATTCATTGCATTAATTTCCAGGGTTGTTGGGTCTCCGGGTGATTTGCATCTCTTGTTTGAAAGATTAGAATGTAAGAGACACAGGTGGGTGCGTGAAAGAAGTATGTGAGGAATAGAGATGCGGATCATCCAGAGCGCCTTATATCCGAGGGGGTAAATTCGCCAAGAAATATAGGACCTTTTAATACGGAAACTAATTATGGGTGGATTGATATTACGCAAAGCGTCTGTGTGACACGCCTCAATTTTTGGGAGGACGAGGCGTGTCAGTTCGGGGGGATAAAAACCGAGTTGCGTCTCTGGAGCGGGACCTCTTTTCCGTTACGATACCGACATGAGTTGCTAATTTGCTTCAATTGGGTTGCCCAGCCCCAAAACATGAACTTCGTGATTTTATTAATTCTACGTTTATTTTAATAAATCTTCAACTCCAATCAAGAATTTGTTTTAGTGACTTTGATTTATCTTCGTTTTCTACACTTCAAGAACCTAAGTTATACTTTAACATTTTCTGAGTCGGTACTAGGCGGGGCGGCTTTGGCCACCGGGCCGTCTCGCCGTGGATCGCTTCACATCCGTCTGTCGAACCAAAGACCCCGGGTTCGACTCCCACCCAGGCAGCTGACTGAAGCCTTCGTTGTGTGTTAACGTGCCCCTTCCCTTGTTCATAGACGCAGGTTATGTCAAGTGGAAAACACTCTGACTCTGTCCCTCGGATAGGACGTTAAATGGAGGCCCCGTGTAGAGAAGAGTCACTACCTTTGCATGTTAAGAACCCACTGCACTATTCGTATAAGAGTTGGGGGAAACCCAGGTGTAGTGGTCCCCTTGCACACACCCCCAGTATAGTACGATAATACTCTGTAAAGAGGTCTGTACTCAAAAGGAAGAAGAAGCTTGCGGATGAACTTAAAGCTTCAACTTTGCAAACCACATGAAGCATGATCATGTTTATTTATTTTTTCTCATATTAATTACTCTATAGACTAGTCTTGGTCAGACATAATCTCACTCAATATTGGCAGACCTGGGCCTACTCAGAAAACAGGTTTAACAAGAATAAAATGGTTATCTAGCACATTCATTGGATGATTCGCTGACGTTCTGAACATGCACACAGACATAGGCCTGCGCCTGGGTGCAGTCTCAACAACAAGAGTCACGTCACTGCACTCCAGCTCCATAGCTTTTACATGTGATTTTAACATTGACATCTACAGCTGCAGCTGGAGGTGTTTTACATTAACAATACATCATTTTCTGTGAATAGTATTTTACCAATTGAACAATTTATGGGAAGCTTACCTATTTATACCATGTAACATCGACGAAACAGTAGCTTGTGCCTGTTCAAAAGCCATTTTTCAAACCTCTTTTGCCTGTCCTATTGAAATGCACGTGTGGGAATGGTGATGAAGGTAGATGTTGAAACAGTATGTTTTATCAATAAAAAGAAAGTAATAACCAACAAATATATGATTTGATACATTAAAATCAACATTTAAAGATATGTAAATTGTAAAATGATTTTTTTAATTATTCTTGAGAGGTTTTTTACAGTCATTACACCCCAATTGAAGAAAATGTTATACAAAAAGCCTCGATCCTAAGTCTAATTATGTACTTGTGTAATGTAAAATACGATACAGTCCCGTACGTGAGTTTTCACGTACATGTTATAATTTTACTGTTGCAGCTGGTACAAGTTCATGTGAATCTCTTATCAATTGTTGAATTTTACGTAGTTACAGGAATCACAAACGAATATGCATCCAGATCTGTCATCACATCTACATACTGATGAATGTAATGGTATCATTCGGCAACTTCTAGACTGTCATAAAGAGGTAAATAAGTCACTTATTAGTAGTTCATAATTAGATTTAGAAAGAGGATTGGATTGATCATGTTGATGGTGATCATCCTGTTTCTGGAGGCTGGAATTTATATGTGGAAGACTGGAAGTGAAATGAAAAACAGATAAAACTAATAAAAACGGTCCAGATCTATAGCACATACATCAAAACATTACAAGCATGAGGAGGGGGTATGTGGGGTCACTGGGGTGGGGGTTGTGTTGTGTGTCTGGAAAGAATTGAGTGCTTGCATTTTTTTATTGTGGATTTCACTCCATTCTGTGATAATTTTCAATTTACTATAAACTTCTTTTAAGTAGAGATCATGAAATCTTGAAGAAAAAACTGTTTGATTTATTTCTCTTTGAAAACAATTTGTAGGGGTAAGCAACCTGTCCGTACACATGTGGATTATAAGGATGTTTTTTTCTTCCAAATCTACATCATTTTACATGTACGATTTGTGATTAATTATGTAAAATGATTTTAATTTAAGGTTTGCAATTTGTGACATATTATTTCATCTTCTTGTCATTTGCAGCACCCCATGAAAAAATTTGTTGGAGCATGTGACGAGTACAATACAGCTATGAACAAATGCTTCAAGAAAGAGGTGAGTCCATTATATATATCTTTTTATTTAATATAGCGGATTTCACATCAAAAGAATGATTTGGGCTGAGATAATGAAAACATTGGTATTATTGATATCATGATTATGATTATTAATTTTTATCATTATTATTACTATCATTATTATTTTTATCATTATTATTACTATCATTATTATTAATATTATTATTATTATTATCGTTTCTGTTGTTGTTGCTATTGAATGAGAGAGATGGAGTGTGTGTAATGACTAATAAATAGTCTATAACGATTCTTTTTTTCTTTTTTAATGTATGGAAACTACTGCAGAAATGTATAAGATACAGACTGCATTCAAACTAAGCTAGGAATTGATAACTCTCTTGACTAGCATGAATGAACAATTTGTCTTAAATGAATAAGTGATGGCTGTTAGGTAAAGCAATGGTAAACTGGCTGTATGGATATTTAGTGCATCACTCACTTTGAGAGAATTGAATTTTGTTTTACGCATTATAATAAATCTCAAAAAATTGTTTTCATTTTTAAAATTTTGATGGCATATTCAGTGAAATTATAAAGAGAGAACATGCACAAGCACAAGTCTCTTTTAATTCCCTTGAATTTTACTTTCTACCCTATTTTAACCGCAGTATCATTTACGACTCCAAGCCAATAAGGAAAAGTCGGACGTAAGAAGGAAACGGATGGGTCTGATTGACTGACGTCCACCAACCTACACCGACGACCAACGTCTTCACGGAGGCGTAAGATGCAGATGCCTAAATTTCTCTACACTGAAGGGCAACGGAGGAGGAAGGAAGCCATTGCCAGCTAGGACTGAGCTAGAATATGTGATCTGTTTTTACTCAAACATGATTATAAGGCTTCCAAAGGAAGTTATGGAAAGAGAATTCAGGATCAGGATCAAAGATGTAGTAAAATCTGCAACAAGAGCTCACAAGAGTCACCAATTTATGTTTGATTGATCACACCTTAAAATTTTCATAACTTTCTTACTTACCATATTTTCCTCAAACTTTCACTGACCCATTTCTCTTATTTTTTTTGCTTCCATTAGAAACCTACTTAATATGAGTGAGTAATTTGAGTAGCACTTTGAGTGCATTCAGAATAGGCATAGTGTAGAATGCAGCCCAATAATCTGCAATTTAAAGAGTGAAGATGCTATATTGATAGTGATGTTGGGGAACTAAATTTGGATAACAAAGTTTTGCTTTCCTCTGTCATTTCTTTTTTTAAACATTAGGTTTTATTATTGTTACTTCAAATGGGCTTGTAAGTAGTTTGGATGTCAAGTAATGTATTACCGTACTTAAAGTGAGATGTGTGAGTTTTATTGTCAAGAGTCATATCTTCTGTTTAGAGTAAGGGGCTTTTGATACACATGGAGGTTTTGGACAATAGGTTGTGCTATCCTGACAAGTAATATTAAGATAACCAAAAAATCGTTCCTCCCCCATTGCCCCATTTGTAGGCCTAAAAAATGAAAAGGTTCAATTCCAACAGCCTTTGAAAGATAATACTAATTTAGGACTTTCCTCCAAAAAAAAGGGCTTGAAAATGGCTTTTAGTGGGAAAATAACGACCATTAGTTGTCAAAACTTGAGTAAAAGTCTGATTTCAGACCCGTGTACTGAATATTTGTATCTTTGGTGCTGCGCAAAGATACTATCAGTTTAATTTTGGCCGTTACAAGAAGTGGGTTATTGATGTAGACAAATACTCATGTACTTTTACAGTAAGTTACAGCTCATGTTATGTATGTTATTACCACAGAAAAAAAAGGTAGTCAGTCTCTCAATAGTGTCTGACAGTGAAGTCTAGAAAGTAAACAAGTTTCTTTACATAATTCAAATAATAGGACACTGCTAACATTTAAATTTCACGGATAGGACATACGTGACATATTCATAATTCCTGCAAAGTTCTACAGAATTTGATATTGGCTGAAGTGTGACGTCATCAAAAATCTATTTTGAGAATTTCTCTATTTATTCTTCATTTTCCAAAAGAGCATCAAAAATAATGTCTGAATGCCGAAAACCAATTGAATATGTTAAGTATTGGCTGAGATATGACCATCTGAATAAAAAAAGTTTCCTGTAGCAACTCAGAGTTATATTATATTGCTCTGGTTCATAACAGTAGGAGCCAGAGCAATATAACACTGAGCTCCTATAGGACATATATTTATTCAGATGGTCATATCTCAACCAATACTTAACATATTCAATTGGTTTCGACATTCGGACATTATTTTTGATGCTCTTTTGGAAAATGAAGAAAAAACTGAGAAAATTCAAAAAATAGATTTTTATGATGTCACATCTTTGGTACTCTATGGGACATACATGTAGTACCTTCAAGTAACTTCTTATAATTGGTCAAGTACATTTCTCTTGTGTTTCCACTTGGGTAGTCTTTAGTAGGTATACTTATAATCTGGATATGTCACCAGGGAGATGAGAGTTTAATGTCACTTTAGAAATTTTGAGTACAGTATTCGAGAAGAGAGAAACTTACCGTTACTTTTTTTCTTTAGGGCTGGGTTTATATGCCTCCATACCCTAGTACATGTACTGCATTTTTATGGCTTTCACTGAAATATGATTTCAGTATGTTTTTGTTGGGGGGGGGGGGGGAGGAGGGGTGTTTGTGTTTTCTTTTCTTTTTCTTTTTCTTTTTTTTAACAGTAGCACAGTGTGAAAAATTGTAATAAGACAGTTATCATACGTGAAGAATTGATCTTTTTTATATATTCAGGTTTATAAAATACCAATGTGTGTGAAAAGATATCTGAAAAGTATGAAATGAATTAAATATGATATGGAATTATATATGTACATGATGCTTATACATAGAGAGTAAATCTTAATGTAGAATATAGTACCAAGACATTTAATTCATTCAATGAAAGATAATATCGTAGAATTATGGGTGTATCAAGATGAATAGTCATTTTCATAAATGCCATGATTGAAGAGGTGTGTAACAAAACTGTTACATGAATATAATGCACTCCAAAATTAATCTGGATATGTCACCAGGGAGATGAGAGTTTAATGTCACTTTAGAAATTTTGAGTACAGTATTCGAGAAGAGAGAAACTTACCGTTACTTTTTTTCTTTAGGGCTGGGTTTATATGCCTCCATACCCTAGTACATGTACTGCATTTTTATGGCTTTCACTGAAATATGATTTCAGTATGTTTTTGTTGGGGGGGGGGAGGAGGGGTGTTTGTGTTTTCTTTTCTTTTTCTTTTTCCTTTTTTTAACAGTAGCACAGTGTGAAAAATTGTAATAAGACAGTTATCATACGTGAAGAATTGATCTTTTTTATATATTCAGGTTTATAAAATACCAATGTGTGTGAAAAGATATCTGTCACCTTTATTGTGTGTCTTAAAAGAAACCAGTCTGTGGTCCGATACAATATCCATTTGTATATTCAGATTATGAATAAAATACCATTTATCACATCATTACATGATTTGCAGTCTCTTCTCATTTAAGTTGTGTTTTCACCATCTCACCTTGCAGTTTATACATGTATTAACAAATGTGTGATCTATGAAGTGTTTCACAAAAAATCAAAAAAATGTGTACCCCCCACCCTCCCCCAACCCCACGCCCACCCAGATCTCGTTCCCTGTCATCTCTCTTTGTAACTTTATGTCTCTCATGATATGTCTTCTCACATTGATATATGATCCTTTAACAATTGGTTAAAAAAGATCAATCTTTCCTTTTTAGCATGGCAATCATGTTCCCTAATATATAGTTTTTGTCTGTAAGATATCATAGACGAGTCATAAAACTCTTATTGAAATTTGATTGTGTGTTTGGTAAAAACATAAATTTCCACAATACACTAACAATGATATCATCTATTTAGAAGTTGTGACTTTGGTTGCAAATCCTGCTTTTAGTGATGATCTTAATTAATTTAAGTGAAATTTAGTCAATTATTATCCACTTTTGAGCCAGGTGTAAGTGGATACCAGAGAGATATTATTCCTTGATGTTGTTTTGGGGTTTTGGGGGCCCTATCCATCGATTTTGATGATTTCCGCCAGGCTTGGTGTGAGAGTGCGTCTTTCTCTCTCTTCTTGAAAAGTCAGGGAAGTGGTTTCTATTCTAGAAGCGCGAAGGATGACGTATGATGCAGAATATTTTATTTTGGGGGTGATTGTCCTCGGGGAGGGGAGGGGGGGGCGTCCTCGGGGATAGTTTTCCTTATGGGGGAGGGGGTTAATTGTCCCGCTGGTAATTGGCCGGTGTGATTGCTATTAAAGGGGGCAACAATTGTCCTATAACCGACATAAGGGTCTCCAGACTTTGGCCTCAGGAGAGGTAATTCTATCAAACATTACGGTGATCAAGGAGACAACGAAGAAAAAGAGGGGGAAAAGACTTATTTTGAGAAGGAAATGAGAATTCAAATCTGAAATTGAGTATGGAAAAGATTCTAATACTAACACAAACTATTATCTGCAATTGTGGCTGCTTTTGCAGTTCGAAATACATGCATTTTATGAGAGACAAATTGCCCCTCGCCCCTCCTTCAAATAACCTAGTGATGCATAAGGAATTTTTATTTATATTTCCAACTCTGCTCTTCTGTCTGCAATTTGTTTATGCCCACACCCCTTTCATTTTCAAAACGTGTGACCGATGCCCCTATATCATAGGTCACGGAAAGTTGTGATTGCTTACAGAGAATCATTATATGCGACTTGTTTCTTTTGTCGAGACAGATGTTTCGCCGCTACCCTTGGTTGCATATGTCTTTGTGTAATCACAGCACCCAGCGCACGCTTGGTTACTCATTTCGATGAAAGTAAGCTGTTTGTAAAGGCCTAATAATCGAAAGGGGGTGACAGAAAGAAGGGGTTTCATCAAAGGGAGCGGGGAGGAGCCAAATCTCAAAGATGTCGCATATCTTGATCATGCCCCGCGTCAAGTCTTATAGATATTATGGCATTTTTCTTGAGGAAAACTGAGTTAAAATGTGGATGAAATCCCATGTGGGAGATGAATCTAATCATCTAATATCTTACACAAATCATATATCAAATCAACTTTCAATCAATTTTGCTTACGAGCACGTAACTTTGTAATCCTCTAGAAATAATGCTTTAATTAATGGCTTGTTTCTTATGAAAGTGTAATCTTAAAACTCATCTATATTTTTTGGGATACTTTGAAAAAGATGGTTCTCGGATACAATAAATCTCAGCACAAGTCATGATTCCCTCTTTTATATCTTCCATAAGGTCAAAAAATGGTGGATAAAATCCCACAAAAGCATTTTCTTCAAATCTTGTTCATAACCAGCGCATCTTATTGTTCGAAGTTGTTGATGTAATATTGGTCGGGTCGATGGGGTGCAGCCGTGCAGGGGGTAACACTGGCGCCCATTCTGTGCCCCATACCAATAATAAGAATACCTATCACGCTTCACGCCGAGCCACCAACCCACATTACTCATAAAAACGATGATGATGATGATATTTAGGATAATTGTTCCCTTGAGTCATCAATCGCAGTAATTAATAGTGATAATCTAATGATGCCAAACGCCACGTGAATAAAGGTGAATGAGAAGAAATGAAGACAGTATGCAATTATTACGATAATTATTTGTAATTTGAGAATCACTTTTTCATCTGATATTCGTAAATGATGAAAGATCATGCTGCGTTCCTGCGCAGGAGTGCAACTCAAATTTCTGAATGCGTTGTGGGAAAATAGCCTTCGGAGATCTTGGTCATTGAAATAAATTCTAGATAATATGTCAATTTTTTAACCAAAATTTGATGACTGTCACACTCTCTCTCTCTCTTTCCCTCTCCACCACCTCCCCCTCTCTCTCCCCCCTCTCTCCCTCTCTCTCTCTCTCTCTCTCTCTCTCCCTCCCTCCCCTCTCACTCTACCTATTTCTCCTCCCCTTCCTTTTCCCGTTTATCACTCATTTCATCATAATTGAAATCACGAACATAAAAACAGGAAAGTCATTATACATGTACTGTGTCATATATATATATATTTTATTCAATGTATTCCAGCAGCTAATACGCCAGCCTTTTATCAGTAATAATATCAATTTATACTGAAAATATCCCAAAACACGAAGAAGAAAAAAAAGTACAAACTAAAAAGCCAAATAGCAAAATGCCGAAGGTGAAATATTAACAACAGATAAAAGAGGAATAAATATTGCACATTCTGTCTACAAAATATCGAACAAACACCGGCAAAAAATTATCAAAGTAAGGCATAAAGTACAGCTTGTAATAATATTCATTGCAAATAATAGTTAAAACAGTCGATTGTTATTAAATTACGATAAATACTTTCATGTCTTGTGTTTCACCTGCAATGTATTGTTGATTACACACCGTTTATGTTATGATTTAAATTTGTTCAATTTTTCAATTAAATAACACAACTTTGTTTTATTTTACTTCAATCTTTTTTTATTTCCTGGAAAAATGAGCGTTTAAATATTTGTACGATTTATTTTCAACTGTTTTAGGGTACGTTACAATTTAGTTACAATGGTTGACATGTCGTCGGGAAAAGGGCCGTTGGTGCTTAGGCCAAAATTATTCTCTTGACGAACCAACGCAGACAAACAAAAATAAATCAACAAAACGTAATACACTACTATTTATACTTTTAAAAAAAGCTTTTGATGGAACAATATTATACAAGGTCTTTAGACTTTGCATTAGATTATGCACAACCCTGTGTTCTTGATCGAGACGACTCTACAAAATACAGGTTAAAAAGACAGTTAAAATTTGAAAAACGAGGGGGGAGGTGCAAAACACACTCTATTGCACGAGGTAGGGTATGCTCTGTTCACAATAAAGCGCAACTAAGTATGTCGAGGTACTGCGTCGAGTAGGTTAATAAAACACTGCTATATTCCTGAATTTTTCTCGACTGGTAGATTCTTTTCGAACACGTTTCTTATCAGTATATTATGAACACAGAGAATTCCCAACCCTGACAAGAGGTTTATGAGTAAAAGCTGTAGATTAAGCTTTGTTACATAGAGATGGATGATATTAAAAAGACCCAATACAAAGGATACAGGCATTAAGATGGTAAAAATAAAAATGAGTCCATGCTTGTCTTGGATGTCAAATCATCTTGATATTTTTTTCTCTTTCATTATCATAAATCACAAATCCATATTGCATGTACATTCCATATTTATTTATTTTCTTCGCCAATGATTCATACAAACCAATGTCTTTCCGTGCGAAAACCTTATATAAGACACTGTCATAAGTACAACATCGTATCTAGACTACAATCATAATGACCAAAATAGGTTTAATTTTACTTGAAATAAAACAAATTGCTCTCCATCTATATCTCATTGATAAAATGACATTTGTGCGTCATTGAAACAATCGTTACAATATCACAGCTGACAAAAATAGTTTAACCTTTTAGAAGTATATGGGTACAAAATTATATGGATTACATAATACTCAGAACCTTATTGATCAATGAAAAGTGATCAATAACAATCTGAAAAGATATCAGCTTTATCTATCAAGATTAAACAATATGGTCACAATCATTACACGGAAAGAGTTTTTTTTTGTAAATAAAAATTTATGAAAAACATTGCTTGAAAAATTGAAATAAATACGAAAGCAAATATCACCGATTGTATATCATTATCACTGCTCTCGCGTTTTCTCTTTCTTTTGACTTCCTGCCCGACATGCTAGTAATTAGCATAGATTTAATTTTTTACACCATTAGTATTTCGTCGAACAATAGTATCTAGCTCAAGGGCAATAGTCACTTTCGAAGATTCACTAATTAGTATAGAGCGATGCTATAATTACAAAACCCGCTATTATAATAGAAAATAACCATTGTTTCCTGTAGTGTATTTCCACTCCTGTGTGTCTGGCTTCGAGCGAATTGGGATTCAATTTATTTCAAGGGATTAACATTTACGTAAAAGAAGCCTGGGCGTCCGTCACTAGCCCGTTTTAAATAGAAATGAGGTGTATAAATAGACTTCCCAACCCCGGCTTCCCAACAAGTAAGCCAAAACATTAAAACGACCAAGGATAAAAATGGTTAAAAACCTACAAAAATGAACGGAGTCTAACATTTTCTAAATGAATATGTTTGGAAATGAGTAATATTGCATTACGTAATATGCCTGGATTGGACGGTCGAAGATGCTGTGTTCATTTAGCATTATCCCAAGACGCCAATTATTCTTCTTACTCTGCTCAGTGACATCTGCCATCATATCATTGTTCGTAGATTGAAAATGTTCAGGGAAAACACATATTATTGCACTGGTACTATGTTGCCAAAGATCACAATTGTTTGTTATCTCAATTTATTTAAAAACAACTTCTGTATTCCATGTATAACTTTGCGACTTTTCTCTCAAACATGCATGTTTTTATCATAGAAGCTAACTACCAATCTTTGATAATATCTGAATGAGAAAAAGATGAAATAAAAATAGGTTATCTACAATTTTAAAAACTTGATAATATGAAATAAAATGAAATAAAGTAAATTAGATTTTTAATCTATTAAAATTATCAACCTTTCCAAACATTCATTATATTCAGAATGTCTATCGTGTTGAGTATGTGGTGGTGCTAGCCGTGTCTACGTGAGGAAATTCTTGTAAAAATCAATGAATGGGACTGAACAAAAGACACAATTTCGCAATACTTTAAGCCTTTGGACTTGCGTATTGTGCATTTAAGTATGCCCGCAGGGTTAAGCAACACCAAAAAGCAACAAAATAGCAAAATAATTAATTAATGACATACATCTAACTTAACCATTAAAGTGGGATAATATGACTGACATTGATATATACTAAAACGTGAACAATATTTTGATCAATCTTTGGCATTGAATCACAAAGTGAATATATAAATCACTGTGGCAACATATTGTAAAATATCAAACTGCTTTATAAGTGAAAAAAAATACACTTGATGTATCATCTTAGGAATTAATCTCTCATCACTATGTACTAGCAAGGTGCACAGACATCTTAAAGAATCAAATACCCAATGCATGTATTGTGAAGAAAGAATGTGGAAAATTGAGTGGGCTCTTAAAAAGTGTACAGTGTTAAAATTAGATTTTGAGCAAATATCGCTGTTTTTTTTTAATCATTAAATTGTAATAAAAACGAATTCAAATTAGAGGATAGATCAAAATTTCTTATACTCATATTGTTATAGTTTTTTTCTGTTGAAAATGTTTTTATATATATGTATATATTTATTTATTTAAAAAACTAAACATATAACCATATATTTGTAACAAATATATTAGAACAACTTAGTTTCTCTGTCTTTCTTAGCCTTATGAATTAGAGTTAAAAACTTATACACATCAAAGTACGTAGGCAAAGTTTAAATAGGAATAACCCAAAGTCCCCTTTTGCGAGAAGTTCTATTGCACAGACTTACATGGCAGATAAATGTCGACACACACACCAAAAGAAACCATTACCAAAAAAAGAAAAACGACATTTTTAAAAACTTTTAAGCTTTAAGCAATTATTTACCTTGACTGTACTAATCGATTCGCAAATTAATCATGTTTTTTTTGTATTGGTTTCTACTCAAGAATCGTTCAAGGTATAGTTTTTAAAAAGAGAAAATAATCCTAATACAAGGAAATCTATCCTACATTTTGTCTAAAGAAGAACTGACAATAAAGATTTCAGCGGTGACGTTGGCAGTGATGAAGACGATGCTTGTGATCAATAGATTTGAGATGATGTTTAACGAACATGGGGTCAGTGGTAACGACGATGACAACGATGATGACAACGACGAAGACAATGATAAGTTGGATGATGGTGATAGTGACGATGATTATAAAAATGATTTTTGTTTAAAAATTAAATGACCTATACAAAAGTGCAGGTGTGATATATGAATTGCATGTGCCTGCAGTAGACCGTTAACATGGTGAAGCCATATATTATATTCTTTAGTTAGCTCCCTCTTCCCTCCCCTACGATCAACATACACACCCACACAGTCGCCCACACATCAACAACCACACCCCTTTTGCTTTTTCACGCACACATAGCTGTGTACCTGTATCTCCCACTCACTCTCTTTCTTTCTCTCTCTTTCTAACACACACACGCGACGCACAAGCACACGCACACGCACACATAACACACACAGGCACAGACACTCGCTCTTCCAATTCAATATATTACTATCTTTCTTTCCCTCTCTTCCCTTCTCTCTCTCTCTCTCTCTCTCTCTCTCTCTTTGTCTTTCTCTCTGGAGCTGTTATACATTAAGGCCTTAAATATTTGTTTCGTCCAATAATGCCACTGATGATGTTCTACCGATGTTCTGCGGAGTGCACCAACGCCACCGCCTCCTCGTCTCATGACCTGTCCCCCTTTTGCTGTATGGCGTCATAGGTACGGCTGATGGGAGCCGCCTCTTTGGTTAGCTCCCTCTCCTCCTCCGACTTCTTCTTGCTCCCGAAGCTCCTCCTCACCGGCAGCTCCCGGTGGATCGGGGCCGGGGAGGAGCTCCTGGAGGAGCTGACTGAGGTGGCGGTCGAGGAGGCTGGCGTGGACATCTCCCAGAGCCGCTGGATCTGCGGAATCTTGATGACGGTATCCACCAAGAGCAGCATCATCCCCAAACCGAGCAGGAGGTAGACTGAACCAGTAGGGGGAGAGAGAGAGAGAGAGAGAAAGAAAAAATACGAAAAATTAGTAATCACTCTATCACAACGATTGTATTTAGTATATTGATTTTAAGGCAAAATAATGTTCTATTGCTTGCAAAACTGAAATGTTAAATCACCATTTAAAAGGGCTGAGGAGTGACCACTTTTTCAAAATGGTAGATTAACACTTTGAACATGCTGGATGCAACATTATAAAGGTTAAATCTAGCAGGATAAAAGTATCAATCTGACATTTTGAAAGAGTGGTCACTCCTCGGCCCTTTTAAATGGTGATTTAACATTTCAGTTTTTAGAGTGTGTGCTTAATAAATTAAGGCATAATATCTTGAAAGATATCCAAGATTCAAATTTAAACTACCAAAAACTTTTACTTTTGCCAACAAGGCTGAAAAAGATAACAAGATAATGAATTTCACGGACAATGGTACAACAATATTGTCGTAAAATTTAACTTTTAGTTGTGTGGAATTAAAATGTTGCCGACACATATCGTTAAGACGAAATGGTGTCGGGCCCCACGCGCACTCTCTAAATATTGTTAAACAACATAGAATTGTGATAACAACAGACTGTCCCTATATGTATGGCCCATACATCACATACAATAATGTAGGCCTATCTTTCAAGAAGCCTGATATGATGAAACACTGGGGAGACTGAGAGAAGGACAGGCCAAGCATGAAGTTCATTTACAAGCGATGATGATGATGGATGGTTCCTGTCTGATCAAAATATATGCGTCATGCGGTGAAAAATTGAATAAAATTATACCCTGCATGTTCCAGCGATATCTCTCGGAGATAGATCATTCTAGATGGGACATTAATGAATATTACGGAGAAACAATCTCCCATCTGTATCCAGATCACTCTGCAAGTATACTCTGGAGCGGTCTACTCATGTAAATACCAAAATGTGTATGAATCATAATACCATCCTTCATAATTCTTTAAAAATAAGCAGAAAAGAAATATCTGGACATTCAACCCGAATAATGAACTCGGGCAAGTAGGCAACCACCCACTGACAACGACCCCCTCCCCACACCCTATACATCTATACGTTCCAACACAACTTGATTACACCCCACCCCCAAACAACTACTAGGGTGACGGTCCAGAGGTTAGTTGTCCGAGAATCATCCGAGAATCAAAGTTAAACCAATTTGAATTTGTATAATTTTTCAGTATATATGCTACATTTTAGGATCAACGATCACGCTTTATTATTCAGTTACCCCCATAAAAACGAGATTTACTGTGTGAGATCTGTATAAACCATAATAGTAGTATATATCTCTATGGTATAAACCAGACTAATATGCTAGCCCATCCCCTTTCCCCTTCCATGAAAATAGATCGTTACCCCCTTCGGCTTTAGATGCATTAGTTATTTATACTTTGTTTAATCTTTACGTTGTGTTTCCCCAGCGGACTTTGTGGCCCCCTTCGCTTGACACTGTCTTAATGGTGCGTAATCATTTTAGAAGTCAAATTATTATTCGTCTCTCTAACGGCATGAATAAGACTTGCAGGGCTCCCTAGGTGCTCATCTATATTCGTCATGGATGGCGCAGTGAAGGGGGGGGGGGTACCAAATTCTAAACTTATTTTCGTTTGACTGTACTGTGTGTTGTACTAGTAAGGCACTCGTTTTTGATGGTGGTGATAATGGTGCTGATGGTGCTTTTGGTAAATGAAAAACAATTGATGCAGTCAGGGGAGAGTACACAACTACAACGGGATGCTCGGTATTGACATTGAGTATTCACTGCACTATAATGTTGGGGAGAAATCTACGTTAGATGATAACATGTCTGATCATAAATACTTTCGAATTTCTATCTACAACCGGAAATATTTCCGTTTTAAGGTAGTTCTTATGGATATGTCAAATGAATTGATGAAAGATCTTCATTTAAGAAAGCACCCATCAAAAGGAAAAAAAAATATTGAAATGAAAAAAGCTAGAGAAAAATGGAGATGGGTAGAACAGGAACGTCACAAAGAAGATGACATACCCTTTTGACGACGTTCGATTTTACGTATTTCAATCAGCTGGTAAGAATTCCACCCCCCCCCCCCCCCCCCCCCCCCCCCCCCCCGTCAAGACTTGGGCTACACGTCACTGTCTACCTTAGATGGTAACATACTGGACAACTAGATGCATGCTCTATTTTAGGACAGCGGGAGGCAGACAATCGTTCTACCCCGTTCGCTCTTCATTTAATGACTTGCAATTTGATGCTCTCTTAAAAAGGTGCATTAACAGCAAGTATTATGTATACAATGTAAGCATGACGAATGATATAGGGCTATGTTTAATCTACTTTCTTACGAACTGAGAAAACCTTAGCCAAATTGACATTAGTGCCATTAATAGCGCAAGTATTTTGTTTATTAATACACAAAAGAAAAAATTAAACCAAAATATAATCATTGAATTCTGTCTGCTTGCTTGGATGATTTTGTGTCGATATTTTTTGTAACAGCTTGCACAGCTTGATTGTACACCGCATACGCGGCCGGCAATCTGGCGTCTTATAGGTGGTATACGAGTGACAGAAATAACTGTTGAAAGGACTATTAATTAAACGACATCAACCCCAATCTGTGCTTGTATCAGTGTGATGCTGACCCGATACACGACAGCTAGGCAGACAGGTGGGTGTGTGTTTCTTTACCCAAGACTCTACCCGCCTATATGTGACCTTGGTCGACAGGATTATGTTACCGACCGGGGCATGACCAGGTGTTTATTTATGGGAAGGGGTAATTACGGAGGGGGCTGATCATATGTTCTTTGTAAACATAATAACATTATAATAAATAATGTGGACCATAACAACAAATTATTTTGGATGAAGGTGATACAATACACCTGTACGTTTAAATGTTAATGATTGCAGTTGCGTATCCACCCCTTGCAGGTGCTGAACCCCCCCCCCCCCCCACCCCCGGCCACGCCCTTTTGGTTGTTGTCCCTTTTTGAGAAAAAAAAGCTCCACCACCCTTGTTATTATCAACATAATCGGTTGGGAGACACAATAATCGGAAGCATACACTGCATGGCATATGAGATTATAAAAAAAACCTCATAATTATTGGGAAGGAGCAAATGCCCCCATGCACCCAAAAAGGACTCCTCTGCAAATGTGGGTTACATATTTGGGCATTTAAACACATAGACAGTGGTCCGTAGGGAATAGGCCTACCAGAGGGTTTGTGTTTTTATGAATTTGTCAGTTTTGTGCAGTTTTTTGAATAATATAAAACTGTAATTATTGACGCAAGTTCGGAAGATTGCTACCAGGTAGTTGAGGTGAAAGATAGCAATATTCCAATATAATTAGGGGTTACTTATTATGGAGTAACACCTTTCACCAAAATGAATCTATGAAAAGGTTAATGCCTAGCGCTCTAGCCTATAGATGCATTATATCAATGAAATGGCAGGCAAACAAAGCAGTGTCGTAAATTGCTTTCATACTAAAATGTTTAATTTGATAGATTTATGCAAGTGGTGAAATTAATATCTACTCGAGTGAGCACAGCTGCCACGCACCCAGTTAGGTCAGGAAGGACCAGAGCGTTTAAGCTTACAGTCATGACAGTTTACTAAAATATGCTGGCATTGAAATTCGAACTCCAAACAGTGATTTTATACAGTTGTATGTTTAAAGCTCATGTTAAGTTCTGATCAGCTTTGTATTGTTATTTTAGGCAATATGAACGCATATCGTGCAATATTTCTTTAAAGTCATGTACATATACACTGTATAATATTTATGTATGTACGTCTTTCCTGAAATACAATATGGGTCAGTTAAGTCACCATTTAGGGACTTCGTTTTGTCAAACAATAACAGTGGATTTGAACTAATTGCTTTCTAAAAGTTGTACATTTTATGTGTATAGTATATCAACGAAGAAAAATAAAAACATATTGTATTTCGTCAATGTAATCATATTTCCATGAGTAATTTAATTGTATAAAGCAGGATTGCAACCTTTATATGACATATCAATGTAATACGTTTTACATTTTAATTACATAGCAATTTTAAAGGGTGGGTGGTAGTGCGTGAGTGTAACCATTATGGTTTTATCGACTTGTTTTTTAATACAATATTTGCAAACAAAATAAAAGCTTGCATAAAATCGATGTTCCTTTCTTTGTTCGTTCCATATGGCATCATTTTCCCTCGTGTATTGTAGCGATTTCTATTATTAGTTCGGTACACAAAATAATTGCATAGATAATGTGTAAGTGGTGTCTACAGTTGTGGTTGTTTAATCAGCACAATGCTATAACGGCACAATAATTACATTGATAATCTATCTCAACGATTTTGGAATTATTTTTGTGTGTGTGTCATGTAGACAATGAAGTGTGGAATGTTATGCAACATTCTGTTCCATAAATTACAATATCTATATTCTCTCTCCCCCCCCCCCCCCCCCACTTGCCAATACGTTGAGGGAATTAACCAGTCCCACCTTACTCTATACTACTATCTTTATCCCTCGTTTTATTTACTTCTTCATCTCTCTCTTTCTCTCTCTCTCTCTCTCTCTCTCTCTTTCTCTTTCTGTCTACCTTCCCAACTATATATCTATGTATCTATCTAACTTACTACGTACCTATCTATTGATCTATCTATCTACCCCTATTTTCTCTCCCTTTCTCTCTCTCTCTTCCACTTTTAGCCGTAACATTTTTTATTTTGTTTGGTAACCTTTTGTCTGAGTCTAGAGAATGTGTATTCTATGTTTCTGTACATTAAGTCAGTAGTTTAATTCGGTGAAACTAGATACAACAAGTCCAGCTTTTAAGTTGGTTCACTTTTCATTTCCGTATTTGATGATTTACAGAAGATTCTTTCAAAATGTTAATTACTGTGATTCAGGATTATTTACTTCTATATTACTTAAAGAAATGTTAATGTTTGGTATAATAGAATATAAGCAACCAATCAATCAATCTCCTTCTTCTCTCTCTCTCTCTCTCTCTCTCTCTCTCTCTCTCAGGACAGCGTCATTCGCTCTGTATAGGATAACCATATTGCCAACCAAATCGGTATATCTCCATTTCACATATAGATCGTTCTGTATTACAAAGAAAATGCATTTAAAACAATGAGCATATATACCACCAGCACAAAAAGCTCACGTTCAAGTACGTTTCATATCACATTAAGGATCTCTTAGAATATACCAGCTTGGGATAAGGTCGAGGGCCCTTTTCGAGGTCAAATATTAATTAGAAAATGGTTTTATATTCTGCACTAGACTACTCAACATCAACAAGCTGGAAATACAAAACAAAAATTCAACTTGATATAGGCTAGTACTGTAGAATTATAGAGGCCTATGTAATATTGCAAAATTTATTCATCATAAGTAATTATAAGTATCAAAGACCCTGCAGTGAAGCTCCGCCCCCCCCCCCCCAATCATAGCCCCCCCGCCCTCCAACAAAAAAAGTCAGAAAGAAAGAAAGAGGCACATTATTGGCTTGCTACGGTCCACCTAGTAAGACCGGTCTACCCATTCCACCTACCCAATCCCTGCCCCTCCTCCATGTTTGGACCCATGGCATGCCATTTATTTCAAGAAAATGATCTGGTAAAAGAGAAATTAATAAATAGAAAATAAAATAAAAGTTACATGGAAGAAATTTAAGTGCTGGGAATAAAGTGTAAAACTCAGTATCACTTAATAACATTATGATGAATAGAAACGAGAGAAAAACAGCAGGGAAGAAAATGTATGGAAGAAAGACTGGTGTAACAATCAATCCAATATTCTGATGAATAACAAAGAAATATAATGAAATAAATTGTATGGCAGGAAGTGTGACAAACACGTTAACATTCTGATGTACGATTGAATCAGAGTGTATATCGCCTCCAATCTGTGCTGAAATAACCGCCAAATTTTCCTAGTCCAAACGTGTATTACACTCTTGGACCACAATCGTCATCATGTCAAGACAGCTAAGAGTACGCCATTAAAACACCCACATCACGTGACCTTCGAATCCAATCATCCACATGTATGATTGAAGAAAAGCAGTAATTAGCTAAACGTTGTAATAGGTGTACAAACACAGAAACAACCATGACACCGGTCGAAAGTGGCACCAAGGCCGGGCTGGGCCTTCCTCTAATATACAATGTGTAAACACCGATAGTGCGTGTCCATTATGCCAATTAAGGTTTAATGGTGTGGCTGTACGCTTCCAAGATACACTAATCCCATATCATATGATTATGAACTGTACTGATTTCAATGGAAATCTTGACTGTTATTTAAGTGAATGTGGAAAGAGCTCTTCTGACGTGACTGTGTTTCTTAATATTTTAACATGACTTTTTATTTCCTTAATTTTTCTTTAAGGTATTCATAAATATATTTTTGTATTATATTATAATGTGCGTAATTATGCAAGTATCGAATGATGCAACAAGAAATACAGACATACTAAATCATTTTGTCTTTCTTTTATCAGAGTACATCGAAAGATTTGGTCGATTTACGCCCATGAGTGTAAAAGACGAAAAGCTTGAATATGTCTGTGTTCGTTGCTTTTCTTCGATTTGTTTGTACCGATTGTACCAATCCTTTTACACGTATATATTGCTAGGGCGACACCATCACAAGCCGTGTGCTTTTAAAGAACATCGCCTCCTTCCTATGTACATGCGTATAAATTCAAATATTTTGCATCTGAAATTAAATTTATTTTTTTAGGGCTCATTATTTGGCGATTTGAGCAATTATTTTAGAAATCGGTAGATATTTAAACAATTATTTATATGTGTGTACATAAATCACAATCATTTGGTCTTCTTGCATAATTATATACTAATATTAAAACAAAGAATAACAAATGCCGACGTTTTGCATTGGTATTTTGATAACAAAAAACGGAATAGCAGCATTGAACGATTTCATATAAAATTATTACAAGATTTAATGCCAAATATAATACTTGGGTTTCTTCCCTAATAAAGGGCTTATAAAACATCAACCTTAAAGTCGATGGGCAACGAAAAATGTTAAATGTCATTTGAATTGAAAATAAGAGGCCAAACCTAAACAAGTTATGATATTGTGAAAAGAACTTTTGACATAAAATCATATTTAAAATATCAGCAATTTTTTTTTTATAGACAACGTTTCTCTGTAAATGAAGAAGACGATGATAAGGGTTATAGCCTTTCGATATCGATGCACTTTGATTACTGTCATCTGCAATATGCGTATCGTGAGTATGCACACGGCCCATTAAGTACTTAATAGCTAGTAGTGAATGTTCTATGGCACATGACTGACAAAAAAGAACAACCATCGAACGTAATGCAGTTAACATTAACGTACTTGGTTCAAAACTTCAAGATGACATAAATTACGTGCCAAGGAAATGAACGTTCAAGTTTATGAGAATATCCTGCACGGATGCTCCTCCGTCGTTTTCTGTTTCAAAGTTCAAACAAACACGGGTCATCCCAGCTCAAAACGCAATAAGCGGTAGGCTTGTTAAAACTCTGTTCTTCTGACATTGTGAGAATACACAATTGATAGTGCAAAACATGTTATATTGTTTCTTTCTTTGCATAATCAGAAGTAGTGTAAATTTCGAGTTTTTGCGCATTTTGCCCAATTATTGTCAGTAGTAGCAGTAGTAGTATATGTGGTGGTGGTGGTGGTGGTGGTGGTAGTAGAAGTTGTAGTAGTAGTAGTAGTAGTAGTAGTAGTATGTAATGTTTTGAATATAATTGTACACTGTAGAGCAAAGAAAGCTGCTCATCATGCAGGGAAAGCGTTTATAAAAACAACATCTTCGTCAAACCATAAAGATGTGCTCTTTACGAACTAGTTAGGTAATCATGTGGTCAAAATTCGTTTAAAATCACTTCTAGTGAAAGATCAGAGGCGGTATTGCAGATATACCAACTATCACTAATGAGATGCAGGCTTAAACAAGGCCTACAAACAGTGCGAAGATGATTTCATAATTAGACGAGCAGCGATGCCCATATGAGTTGTCTAATGACGTGGACTTAATCCATAGGTCTTGAAGCCTGACAGGTCATCATTAGATCGCTTTATTGAGTGCACTTAGAACAGTGGCGGAACCAGATGAGAAGGGGTGTGGTCGGGAGCCATGACCCCCTTCTTATACTTTTATCAACATCCGGAGACCGGAATGCATGCACATACTGAGGTTTGAGTTTCAGATTTAGTTTATTGTTCATATTGCAAATTAGTTTTTATTTCAAATTTTGCAATGATTTCACAAAATGGAAATAAATGGTACAAATATCCATGAACTATATCAAAGGAGGAGAGAAAGGAGAAAGTGAGAATCTTATATCCATTTTTTTTAGTGCATAAAATGAAAAGGCTTTACTCATAGGAAATGTAAAGTATGGAAGGGAATTATGGTGAAAACTCTCTTCTTGTGAGATGCAAGTCCTAAAGAGTAGTTAATCTTATAATAGCCTTTAAAATAGGAGGAACGAGCAATTAATGTCAATCACAGGTAATATAATTCGTTTTTTTAAAGCAACGTAAGAGTTACTTTCATTACATTAATGTAACAAATAACATTATTTTGCACTCGTCTCCCTCTATAATTTTTTACCCAACTCAGCATTTTGGCAAAAAAATGCACTCACAAAGTTCGGTACGTGCCCCTTTAAGTCAAAATCCTGGACATGTCACTCGCGACATAAGGGCCCGAATGCGTGGGTTGTTAATTAAGGAGAATTGTAGGAAAGCGCTCGGATCACTCGGTGATTCATATGAAATCTCTAAATTTGAGATCTGTGACGATGAGTGTGAGATCATTGAAGTGAAGTGTATAGTTCTACGTACAGTGAAGTTTGATTTTTCATTATCCAAAATGGCTGACTATGGATATGGTTCACAAAGTGACATAGACTTGATTGTAATGCGTTGATGTTGATAAGGGTTGTGTAGTTCTGTTTCAATTAAACAGGTTTAGAAAAAGAAAGGTGTTCACTGACCTCAATACAGACACTCAATAAAATTACTCTCATTTTACTACTCGTTTTTATGGAAAGTAAAATTTGATGATTATGAAAGTGAAGACAACTGGGTAGGTAGGCCTATGTAGACGTTTTATTTCTCACTTAGCATGCTAGACCATAAAGCAAAACATATATGTATATTGGTTGCAAATAGAAAAGACAATTAAGCACTTTGGACACCACACACACACACACACACACACACACACACACACACATAATTTGTATTACGTTCCGTATTCCGTATATATTACATACAGACTAGCTGGTAAAAGTGCAACATAATGATACAGAAAATTCGATTTGGTTAGAATGATTATAACCATCAGTTATCAGAATATTTAAAATTTCAAAATTCTTGTGGGTGAAGAACCCAGCCCCCATCTTGTACACCCATGAGAAAGTGGACGAACATCAACACTTTTTGTCGGGGGTAGGGGGTTGGGGTGGGTGGACCGTGGAGATACATTATGTTTTCACATGTATTTCTAAAACTTTAATACGTATTAATAAAAAAGAAAGGAAGCCCCTCCCCCTGTCGTAAGGATAAATTGGGAATCAAGACTTACGTGATACACAAATGAAGTAGATTGAGCGCGTGCTCTCGTAGGCGCTACCTTCCCTGACGGCGGTGACGGGAACGAAGTCGCCTAGGCCCACAGTGGTGAGGGAGACGAAGATGAAGTAGAAACTCTCGAAGTAGTTCCATCTCTTCTCCAGGGTGGTAAAGATGGCGGCCGGGATGAGGAAGAAGAGGGCGAGGATGAGAACGAAGAGGATGAAGAGATGACACACCCGGATGCCGGGACCCGATTCTTTATAGTCTTGAGGATAAAGATTTTTTTTTTTTTTTTTTTGGGGGGGGGGGGGGGGGAGAAGAGGAACAAAAATTTAAAGAAAAAAGGATATAAATGTATTTTCATTATGACTGATAAGAATGCGGTTATTAATTTGGTGGGGAACATTTCTGCAACAGGCAACAATGACACTAATCAAATTCTCACACAATCATAAGGGACTTTTAATATATTCTCGATATTTTGGGGGGCACGTCCCCCCCCCCCCACGCCACTGTTTTCAGTATATGTCAGTTTGTTTTGTTTTTACTCGATATAACATTTTTTTACCGAAGACGGTGAAGACCTACCAAAATAAGATTTCGTCATTTTTATAATTTATGAACATATTTTGAACTTAGGTCCATGCAGGAAAAAAGGTCTTAAAATTGCAATGGGTCTACGCCTCACGGGGATCTAAGGTACCTTTCTCCCTCATCCCGCCCCTGTCCCCGCCCTACGCCCATTGTCCAGACAAGATTCCGCCCCCATGTTCATCCATTTCGTTTTACACATGCGATGGCTATAAGATATCCAAAGAAAAATCATAACGCATTATAAGCCATACACTTTGGAAGCTAACTGTATTGGGGCCCTGGGGAAACCTATTTAAATTATCACTGACATTATGGTGACTTTGTTTTTATGATCCCTTCTTTATGGCGGGTTAAAGTGGGCAATAAATCTTCGAACGAGTGTATTAGTCATCGTTTTTCTCGTCGATCTCATGCCTAAAGCGCTTAGAATTCACTTAAACAGTCATGAGAGCAATTTTATTTTCTAAAGCTATGGCAGTTGTCATTCACGTTCAGGAACCAGAAAGAACGTTTTTCAGTATTCACTATGAAAGAGTCTGTAGAACCATGCAGTGAGCCCGAAGATTAAATCTAGGGTTATTAACAGTAACAATTTCATGGTTTGCGTGATACTGTTGCGCTTTATGTCTTCAAGATATAAAAAAAAAAGGACGATGGCCTCAACACACCATTTCTTTCCGGTTTCATTCATTTATGAAAGTAAATTACGCATTGAATTTTCGTATATTCGTAGTAATTCATTGAAGAAAACTAATTTGATATTGTTGCTCAAGGAACTATTTCATTATTTTACATCGTTTTTGGTTCATGAACCAACTTTACAGCCTTCAATATGGCATGAACTGAATAGAATGAAAATGAAAATCAATTAAACCCCATGGATAATTCACGGTGACAAAGTAAGAAAACTAAAGTATAAGAAACTCTACTTAGCATAACAAAGGAAACCACCTCTTTCCAACGACCTATTCAGAAAAAATTAATGACGATTATTACTCCGGTCGATTTTACGTTGTATAACCTCTTATCATTATTTTTTTAAAGGGATATGGATTTATGGATCCCACGACCTTCACTATAGGACAAAACTAAGGACATTACAGAATATAATAGAGTTTACTTTAATGTGACTTCATGTGTACGTACTTCGGTTCAGTTGAACCCGAGCTAATATTTAATGATGAAAACGCCATATGTTTTTTTGCCATGCGTAAAGCCATGAATTAGACGTTGTCGCTTTCCACTAATTATGCACGCAGACTTTAGAGTCGGATCCGTATTAATTTCATTTCCCCTGTAATTAATGCTAGAAAAGAACACATGGGGCTCACTTGTGTAAGTAGTGCTGTGTGAAAACCTTGGATTGGTTTGGGACCGTAATTATTTTAAAATCAATTATTCAGACTTAAGACGGTGCGATGTAATTCTGTTTTATTTTTTATTGCATTAACATCTTGACCCGATCGTGTACTTCCTTTTCTTTTTGGTAGAAATGTTTATTTGGAGACAAATGTTACAAATCCTTAATTTTGTGTGGGTACGTATGTGAGTATGGGGAAGCTTCAAATTAAAATTTTGTTGAAAAATGGAAACTGCAAATGGGCATTGTTGACAAAATCCCGTCTTAAAAATCAGCTTCCAAAGTTCAGGATTTTTTTGCGAATGCGGCGTGCTATTCTTTTTTAGAATAAATATTGTTTATTAAGAATATTATTTCAATCAAAGATGTACAACTGAGATTAATATCAAAATTAAAATCGAGATTAAAATAGGTTGTAATCATTACGTCTTGCAATATACTATCGCATCTAAGCTGTTATAGCAGTTCTTAAACTAAGAAGGCGACCACGAATAAATAGATAAAATTATAAGAAAAAGGTTAATTTATCACTCAATTAATCAATGGAACTATGGATAATCTTTAAAACTTGAATATTTTAAGAGATAGCCCGAGTTGAGAAAACTTACCGAATTTATCTGTGAGGTAGTCAAGCAGCATCTGAGAGGGTTTACTGACCACGTATGTGATTGTACCGAGGAAGAAGAAGGTAAAAGGAATACCAAACAGAGCAAAAAATAGACAGAAGAGTTGACCGCTCCATGTTAGCGGTGACACGTGACCGTAACCTGAAGGAAAAAAATAAAATAAGAAACACGTTTGAGGATGGAGTCATTTGTTTTCAAATGGTAAAAATCATTAATACTCAACCAGTATAGTAAATTCTTTTTTTTAAAGTTAGTTTGGAATATATAGTTTTTTTAAAAGCTTACAGGTTTTGAATATTCAGTTTTGAAGAATATGTTTTTGAACATTCAGTACACCTTTCATGTTACAGCCATCTCACTTCAACTAACATCAACACGATCATTCTTTTAAGATGAAAAAGTGATGACACAATTAATTAAATCGAGCCAATAATCCATAGTAGTTTGTGCCTTGATAATACAAGAAGTACAATGAGATAAATAAAGATAACGCAATGCATACAAGAGATCCATCACGTTGTTCCCTTTATGATTTCTTCAGTTCACGGCAAAAAGGTCTGTGTAAAAGTATAAGAGTTAAGAGCCTTCTGGCTATCAACAGGCGATATTCTCATCAGGTAATTCTAACGAATGATGATTGTGGAGAGAAGATGGAAGAACAAGAGATGCCCTTGGTCCGTAAATGCACAAATCATTTCAATAAATGCATCCCGCCACTCAATTACAATGGGTAATTTCATTACGAGGGAAAAGAGAATTATGTAATCAAATTTATCTTCCATCGCTCACTTCCCAATTCCTGAACTCGGAGGCGATACCCGAATACCCTTCGAAACGATGATACCGTGATGCATCGCAAGAAGAATAATCATAAACAAATGGCGGTGATGTGCATCCATTATGTAAACGATAACATAATAAGAAACTTGCAGTGAAGGTTCGGTAAAGGGCCGGGGTTGCATTTAGGGGTGCAAGGGATAATGGGGGGGGGGGGAGAATATTTATAAAAATGAGAATTTTGAGGTATTTCAATAACTGGACATTTCCAATTGCACGACGTAATCGGGAAACTCATGTGTCATTTGTATTTTAACAAAGGATAACTTTGTGTATAGTAATTTTATTTTTTAAATGAATACGCCATGTTTCTTGTTTGTTATGGTCCCCTTATCTTCATGTATTATTCTAAGATCAAGTCCTTCAACCTTTCAATTTATCTGTTGGCTACTGGTCTAATGACCTGTGTCCGTGACCATAACAGTTACGTAGGGCGCCCCTTGAATGTGCAAAAGGGGGAACAAATGTTTTTGTTAAGGGGAAGAAAGGGGAAAGTGAGGCGAATACACACCTGACTTAGCAATCTGCTCCATTACCTGTCATACATCTACTGAGACATACCCCCCACCCCCACCAACCATTGGCCACCAGTGCCCCCGAATTTCTTGACCCATGCTACGCTGCTCGTTAACAGTTCCCTAAAGCATTATCCATTGTATGGCCAAGATCAACAACTTCAATATGGAATTTTTCGAGCCGTTTACACTTTGATGTGTATAAAAGCATATTTCAGGGCCCGCTGGTTACTGATTTCCATTTTCCACAATTATTCAATGACCCTGTTCGAGTTTTTTTAATCAATCAACCGAGTAATCGAATTATGAATTAAACAACAATGCCTTCATGGACCATAATAACATGTCAACGAAGTAAAATAAAGTATGTTTAAATTCTAAAGTCCGAGTACGGTGAGGCAACAGTATATAGGGATGAGCTAGACTTGTTTGCTATTATAGTATTAAACAATTCACAGTGAAAACATCTGGCATTTGCAAAGGCTTTATTATATTCATAGGGCAGTCAGGTGGCACAAGTAATATTTATTTGCCCACATTCATAGTTACAGAACCCAATACAATTTTCATGTGCGGTTGAATGATTTCATATAAAACCAAAGCTATGTAAATTAAAAAGTTGTGTTGCTTCAATAAAAACAACACCGGGTGCTGCCAAACAAAATGCTTCTTTGTAAGGCACAAGTTCACAACCACGTGAATCGGAAGCAAGGGTGTCGATTTGTATCCGTGGTTGGGGGGGATGATAGGTGCCAAAATATTTTCGGCAATGGATCAAAGCAACCAAAGTGGTAGAAGCGTGTGGCAAGTTGCACCCCTCCCAAGCGCGTAGCCAGGATTTAATTTTAGGGGGGGGGGCGGTAGTGAGCACGCGAAGCGCGGTTCCTAGGGGGGTTGGGTGCAGGAAGGGGAAGCCCCCCCCCCCTCCGCGCAAAGCGCGGAAGCTTTGACGTTTCACTAAATTATTAGAGAAAGAAGACGATTCGTTGGACCGTTCTCGACTCTTAATCCTTGTTTGAATCAAATTCCCCTTCCTCCGCGCATAGCGCGGTAGCTCTGACGTTTCATTAGATTATTAAAGAAAGAAGACGATTCTATGTACCATTCTCGACTCTTAATCCTTGTCTGAATTCATTTTTGCCCATTCCTGCGCGAAGCGCGGAAGCTTTCACATTTTATTACATTATTAGAGAAAGCAGACGATTTGTTGTATCGTGTCCTTCATGAATTCAGTTTCAATAAATTATTACTCTTAATCCTTGTCTGTATTCATTTTCGCCCTTTCCGCGCGTAGCGCGGAAGCTTTCACGTTTCATTAAATTATTAGTAAAAGAAGACGATTAGTTGTATCGTGTACTTTGACGTTTCATTTGATTATTACTCTTAATCCACATCTGAATTTAGTTGCCCCCTAACAGCTTTGCCCTGTTCGCTAAATTATTAGAGAAAGAAGACGATTCGTTGTACTGTTCTCTATATTAATCCTTGTCTGAATTTAGTTTCCCCACTGAAAATAAGTTGTGTCACAAATAAGTTGTGACATAATAATCTTTCTCCAAAAATGAAAAATGTTTTTGGAAATATCAGGAAATAAAATGAGTGAAAAAAATAAAAATAAAGATACAATGACGTGAATTTTAAAAAGGGTGAACGGAAACAACATAACAACTAGTGAACTATTTTATAAGTCATACTAATGTCCGAAAATCTTTCTCCTTGTCTCCGATCTCATCACGAAATCGTCACAGAGTTCATCTTTGTTTACACCGTCCAGGATTGTCTGATGTGCATTGCAGATTGCTACTTTTGTGCTTCACACTTAACATTTAGCTCGTTGCTTTTGATGCTGCGTCTTTGCATTTGGCGCACTGCATTTCTATGATGCTGTTGATTGAACAAATTGAATAAATTCATCAATTCCTGATGAAGCCGTATGAGCGAGAATTCAATTTATTCTTGTCTCATATACGGTTGTCTTATTTACTTCGTATATATGTATGTATTGTAAAAATGAGATAGCAAAATGTGTATATTGATGGTCATCTTGCGAGTAATAACCATTAACTACTCTCATCGGACTCTCATCATTAATTTTTCTCTTCATTTTTTTATATTTTTTTTATGGTGAATTATTGGGGGGGATGATTGTACAGGCCATCCCCCCCACCTGAAATATTGGGGGGGATATATCCCCCCCATCCCCCCGGGATCGACACCCATGATCGGAAGCGTGAGCATATGGTAAAATTGAACAGCTTGTGTGATTATTTTTTTCACCTGAACGCAGCATAAAGTAAACTATTTAATGACGTTTGAGTCACAAGTTCACAACCACGTGAATCGGAAGCGTGAACATGTAGCAAAATTGAACAGCTCGTGTAATTATTTTGTTCACCTGAATTTGGCATAAAGTAAACTATTTAATGACGTTTGTATCAAATTTTAGCTATAACTTTACAATAGCTGATAATCCCACAATAATGTCGTGAACTCGTTCTATAGGCACCATCATGTCATATTTTGTTCCTTATCCATATATATTTACACTTGTAAGTTACAAGATATTGGGCAGCAGTATACCCAATAAAAAACACACACCTGGAGCCTCACCCCTATAACATGTTGCTAACAAGTTGTATTTCCCTACAAATCTTTTGAAAACAATCTGCTATTATACAGACCCCTGACCAGTTTTCACGGCCTTGTAGCCTAGTCCGCCGATATTTCAGTGACTGTAAATGCATGTGCTGTAACTGTAACTACGCATGCCAATACTTGCAGAGGTCTATTCCTCCATTGAACTCTGATTCGATTTGCTAATGGTCTTTACTTGAACAATGATAATAAAATGGTGGGTGCACACTTATTTCATTTGGCCAAATCTAATTGATTAAAAGCGGATTGAAATTAGAGGGCATATTTTCTATAATTGGACCGGAGGGGCCTTTTTTCTTTTCTTATTAAGTGACAGAAGTCTCGTTCACTTTGTCTTCTATTCTCTTCAATGTTCTTTGTTTACTTTCTTATTACTAGTTGGCATTTTCTCCTCTCAAGGATCGATTTAGGTCAGCTGTATAAGAAATGAACCGTATAGGAAGCGATATTTATTCCTGAGAAAAAAATATCTATTATAATCTTATCCTCTTCCTAATCTCCAAACCTCCCCCCCCCCCCTCTCTCTCTCTCTCTCTCTCACTACCTGTGTCCTTCCCTCTCCCCACCCCTCTCCTAACTCTCTCTATCCCATCCCCTCAATCCTCCCTCTTTTCTCTTTTACATTCATCTCATACACTACAGAAGTATAACAAAAGATTTTTTTTTTAATTGGTTCATCTGGGTGATCAATTTATTTCAGCCCCATTAGACTGGTATCACATAAACTATTGTCTTAGTAAGATAGTGACATCGTAGAGATGTCGTAGTAGAGTGGTCTAAACACTTGACTGGGGATGAGAAAGGTCGTAGCCTACGACTCGTAGGTCTGATCCCCGGCACGGCACTGATGTCCTTGAGCAAGGAAATTTATCTACCTTGCTTTACTCCATCCATGTGTTAAATGGATACCCGGTAGGATGCAAACGTTAATGTGGTTGGATTGTGACATATTGTGTGTTTGCAAAATGGTGCCTGGCCAGAATACTTCCAATGCAGCGGAGAGTAAGCAATATCATGTGCAGAATAATTATTTATTATTAATTAATCAGCACAGTTGTTGATTTTTTTTTAAATATCTGAACCACCTTTCATTGCTGTTTTGTTTAGTTTCCTTTTCTTTTCCCCTTTTATATA